GGGGGAGCTTTTTACGCACCATGGTTGGTCGTTGATTTCGAAGAGGTGGAGCCGCGGGCTGAGGATCATTTTCGCCTTGTGACAGGCAGTCTCTGGACTTTTGTGTTGATGGGAGGGAAAGGGTCCAGACGGGGAATTGGAGGTGCTAGCAATGTGCACAATCACTGCTAAGTGTTGGTCAACATCTGCGTAGAATTATTGCCTTCGTGGCTTGGTGCCGACTCCGAAGGACATTATAATAGTCCCGTAAGTAGAATATGTTTCAATGCGGGAAAATTGAATTGGAGACGTCTTTGTAGACACTAAGGCAGGGGACAACATCATGTCCGTGGCAGCTTGTAGGAAAGTCATATGGATCGAGACGTCTAGGCCCTCCTTGGGTTTGTTTATAAATTAATGCTTGTACGGAATATATCAAACCGTCAACCTGTGGCACACAAAATGAAGTAGCTTTGACTCAATAGCTAAACCTCCCCAAACGGTCAAGCATTGTCCTATACCCTGGTCGGGAGTCAGGGCTTGCAGCACATTCATGCCTTGTCTCTATCTAACGAACCCAGGGCCCTCCTGTCAGCCAGTGCCTCCATGATGTTAATCTTTTGCGAACCTAGGTCGACCGATGAAGTTCCTTGTCAAGCCCCAGTATCTGTCTGTCTGTCTTTCGATTGAAAGCTGCACGCATCCTGATCACTGTCTGGTCTTCTTCACTGGGTGTTTCTGATGATGGCATTATGTGGACAGCTTCCGTATCAGCCTGTAGCGGGGGTATGCGCCGGGCCGAAGCTGAAGGGAAGCATCCATTAGCACGTGGTGGCATTGGGCGTGTGCTTGGAGCTCGGAAGCCCCACAAGGTGTTTTTCTTGACTTCCTTGTCTTCACTGTCCATGTCTTCTCGGAGCATCTTTACTTGTTTCTGAATCTCAATCCACAATGGTAAATTAGAGATGTCCTTCTCAGTATTGATGAGCTTGTCATGGAAACCTGGATCGTCATTTCTAGGGCTGGTGATCCTGTCACCATCTTCGTCTTCATCGTCGCGCTCCTCATCTTGCCTCGCTATTGTAAGCAGGCTAGCAACGAATGCTTCTTTGAGATATGCAAATGTGAAGTCCTGCGTTATGTCCGCTATCGCTGGTGGCAGCTCCTCTGGAAACTCGACCTTCTTGTTGTGCCGCAACTTCTGTTTCCAATAATCACAGTACAGAATTCTCTCCTCACGATCAGGGGTCGGAAAATTATATTTGCGGTCAAATCTGCTCGGCCTTTTAGCCAGACCACCGTCCAATTGGTCCAGATGGTTGGTTGTGGCCACCATCATGATGCCATCATTGCTGTCTAGACCGTCGACTTCGTTAAAGAAGTAAGAGCGCAGCTCTTCTGTAATCAGAGTGTCCACATCCTCGAGGATGAGTAGGCAAGGGGTCATTGTACGGGCCATCCGGAAGACTGAGCCTATTTCATAGGTATTATGAAGAGCCTTGACGTAAAGACTTACGACTGGGTTTTCGCGGATAGAGAGCGTGTGCATAAGCGCCTTGATGCTGATGGTTTTTCCGCATCCAGCAGGCCCGTAAAAGATCAAACCTCTCTGGTTCACAAGTCAGGATAATGAAGCAAGACTAAGAAGAAAGATGTGCAACTCACCTTCCAGGGAACATCGAGGTCTTTATAAGATTTCTCGCTGTCAAAGAAGTGAACCACAGTTTCTGTGAGAGTCTTCTTCATCTTCTTGTCGAGTATTACGTCATCCCAAGATGCTTTTTGCACTTGCTCATACAAAGCTCTGCTCCGTGTCCAGTATCTCTCGAAGACCAGGATCGTCCCTTCCACTGCGAATTGGATTTCCCCAACAGCCTGTAGCAGTGCATCGGTGACCTTGGAATGTGAGAGGACGGTCTCGTCGTCATCTGGCGGGAACAGAATGTAATTCAGCGTTATCATTCCCTCCCTAACGGTATAAACAATAAATTCAATGTTCTTCCAGGTATACTTGAACCGAACAAAGAAGAAGACCTCTCCTAGATGTCCCTGCCCGCCTCGGGTTGAAGACGTCTGGTAGTATCTCCATCTCAGCAAAGAGTCCTCGGAGGTATCTAGCTCTGCCCGTGCATAACCGGCAGCTGCATAGGCAGCAAGATTGGCATAGCTGGTTGGAATCACAGTCACGGTCATTCCTGGATGGTGGTTTCTAATGGATGCAATAAGCTGGGCATCCAGGTCGGCATATTTGCCAGAGGCCACGTCCTCGAAATCGCTGTAGACGGTGTCATGATGGGCTGAGCTGACAAGTGTATATGGATCGGGAGTTGTCTTGGTGAGCACCATCTTGGATATTGAGCGCCGGCACGATTAGGGATGGGAAATGAAGGAGGGACACTTGGAGAATGACAGTAGAAAGATGGAATCCCGCCAGATCGTGGGTTCTTGAAGAAATAGGCATCCAGGCAGCAACTACCTTAGAAATGACTTCACCATGAACATGAAACATTCATGCGGGGAAGCGGTAGGCAAGGCGCAGTGGGCAAGGCGCAGTTACGGCCTGCCTCATGGGTACAAGTAACTAAGTTAGATCTACTTTCATGTTGCTCTAACCAAGGTAGTTGCACAACAATCCGGCTGCTCAGGGTCTGTAAGCATAAATTTGCTGGAAGCAATAAGCAGGTATTGAAGTCAACCAAACTTCAAGGTACTCAAGTACTAGTTAGTTATTACAGTACTAGGTCAAAAGTATTGGACCGACCCCGCATTTTCACCCCACCAACATTTTCCACTCTTCCCATACAAATTACTACTGTACGCCCGGTATTTATTGGAATCCTATAAGAATCAATTAAATGATACGTTAAAATCTGCTTTTTCGAATAATACTAATTTCCTAAATAGGAAACTAGATATCAGAAGCGGGTGTACCATCCCTTGGCCCTGATCACTACATTTATACGGGTATCCATGCTCTTGATCAAAGCATCAATAGCTTCTTGCCTAATGGCGTCCCAACCCTCATGAATAGCTGTAAATAGACGTTGATACTCGGCCTCAGATTTGCCCATTTTGATCAAGTCAGGGTAGTAGTCATTGATCCATTGCTTGAGTTGCGCCCAGAGATGCTCAATTGGGTTCAGATCCGGACTATAAGGGGGCCATTCAAGCAGAGATATACCCTCCTCCTCAAACCAGGCCTTGACCTTTTTTGCAGTATGGATTCAGGCGTTATCTTGCATGAAAATCCGACCAGGTTCATACGTTCGAGGGATTTGCTCACGGAGAACAGTGAGATAAGAGTTGGCAGTGTATCCTGACTTCTCTGAATCAGGATCACGCTCTAAAAGAACGATATCCGAACGCCCATTTCTATAAATTGCACCTCATATCATGACGCTGATATCCTTGCCTTTCTTAAATAGCTGAATCATATCCTTATCCCACTTTTGTTGTGGCGTACGAAAGTTCTAAACTCGCCGGGCCCTAGAGCCTCTTTTAAGAGAACATTCATTACTGAATATGATCTTGCGCCAGTCATCTCACGTCTAATTTTTTCGTTCTAAATACCAAGTAAGGTGCTTAGCGACTACTTCAGGAGTTAAAAGAAGTCTTTTTTTGGCAAGCTAATTAGTAATGCCCTCGTCTTTGAGTATTCAATAAAGGGTGCTTTTTGAAACAGGTACCCTAAGGGCAAGTCGAAGAGCTGCATAGGTAATTCTTGGATTGGCTCGAATAATGCGTAGAATATTTCGTTTTTGAAAACACGATTTAATATAAGGGGTCTACCAGACCACGGCAAGCTATTGCCTTTGTTACAGAGTGGATTTCGTACGAGGGTGTTGAAAACAGTGGATTTGCCGCAAGTAACTTTTTCGCTAATTTCTGCATTTGACAGCCCCACAGCCTTATAAGCTGAAATCTGACCGCGTTGAAATGGAGATAGCTCCTTGCCATAGCTCCTATTGATTTCTAGAGGCGCCAAAGCCCTGCGTTGATTCATGGTGGTTGGTTGAAAAAGGTAGTAAAAAACGCGTGTTGGAAAAAAAGTGCGCGTCGATCCAATACTTTTGACGTGGTACTGTATAATGGTGAGGAAGCGTTCAGAACCCGGTGGCCCAAGGTGCAAGAACGGGCTAGGTACAGTACTTACTACGAGGAGAGGCACACGTAGCAAGTATTGTTAGGCTGGTGCTAGTAGCAGCTAGTTATCGTTACTCTACTAGTACTATAATGCTGTGATTTGGTATTACAAAGCTTGACTTGAGCACATCCATTTCAATGAGTTGAAAATTTACGTTTACTCTAATGTGGACTTAATTAGCTGTTATGTAGTAACAGGAACGCTTCCAAGTAAAAGTACTAGCGCTGAGCTCACAATACCTCATGCCCCCCATAGTTATGTAGTAATGTTGTTCATACGGAGTACTTGTAGCAGAATCATACGAGGAAGTCAAGCTGAACTGAATTACATTCTAGATTCGCTTTAGCTACTTAAGTATGACTGAATGACTCTCCTCACAACATTTGATACTCTTTCCCCGATACTTCTCTCGTGACATAGCCTTATGTTGACCTTCTGAGAGGGCTAATTGGCCGCGTTTAATATGCGTAATCCCTGCGTTTCTGCTGCTTCTAATTGGTCAATTTCCGACGCAATTTCGCTTCTAATTTCGCTGTACGGTGCACCCAATTGTACATAGATCTACGCTCTCTACCCCCGTAGCTATCAATCAACTTGCTTTTCTACGCACTCTGCACAGCAGGTTGACACCTTATTTAGCTTTTGTCAACGGCGGTTGGCTGTCTTAGCACTGGCCTGACCTACATTCATGGTAGCAAAAATGCAACATAAAGACGTCAAGCCTGAAAGTATACTGTATGAGGGCCATGAGCACCAATGGCGATGCTGCAAGATTCCTCTGGGCTGATTTTGGACTTGCATATGATTTCGGCGATAGCAGTGATAGCAAGACTAGAAGCACCAAAATCTACTCTCCGCGCTGTGCCCTGTCAGAGATTGTAAGGGCAAATGCCATGATGGGTAGTAGCAGAGAGAAGAGATCTAGTGTTGCGAACAAGCTTGATGAGATCGTTGAAAATGGTGGGGAGATACTGATCAAAGCCGGGTTTAATTCCCATGCCTCAGACGACAAGATCGACTAAATATCATGGTAGTACTTACCAGGAGAAGGGGTAGCTAAAGATATGAGCCAGGTGCCATTAGTAGAAATGACAGGCATTCTGTCAAATGACCACCATATTAATATGATAAGAGAGGCATATTTTGATCATATTATAATCATGTTTGCAGTAAAATACGTTATAAATAATAAGATTTTATTAGATCACAGAAGACTAAATTATATATCCTTATATCCTCTAAGTAATATCATGGTAATGCTTAGTCTAAGCGCACTTTGATGGCTCTCCTAGCATTATTTTAAGAGGGCCTCTTCCTGCTAAGTAGCGCTGACATCTTCTCATTGGGCTGTATCTACCTGAGCTGCTTGGCTGTCTAGTCAAAGAAAATTACCCCTAAAAGATAATAGGCAGAAGAAAGTGATGATTTCAGATAACATCGCAACCCTCTGCTCTTGGGCGCAGCATATGCAGGTATCCGACCATTGGATGAGACTCAGACCCCTGTTCGCTCTTGCAGTAAGAATGATCAGTTCAAGACCAGATGGCCGGCCACCGGTCAGTGGAGTCGTTTGCGCAATCAGGGCAACGAGCCAGACTTGATTTCTGTCGTGTTGGTAAGAATCCTCAGCAGCATATGCAATAGTGGAGAGTGTGGGCAGAAAGGCACTCAGCAAACTGGATGAACCGGATCGCCTCCTGCAGTACGATTATCGCCGAGACGATTGCCTGGAGTCCGACTGAGAAGGGCCAGTTCTCCCATGTTGCAAACCCATCATCCTCGAATCCAACGTCTGCTCTCGACTTAGCAAGAGACAATCTACCACCGCATTTTCTGTCTGTCAATATCTTTGGCCATAAACTTGCATCTATTATACAATACTATTTAACGTACTTGTACATTCACGTAGCCTTTAAGTGTTGGAATACTATTTTGTTAGGGTCCTGCCGTGGGCAGGAAGCAGGGAGTAGAAGGTCTGAGGCTGCAAAAGCGAGTCAGTCGATGCAGGTGGGCAAGGTGTCAGCACACATATTACATTGGTATTGCTGTACTACTACTACAAGCGGACCCATAATGGTGACCTTCTGAGACTGCCAGTGTTTATTCCACCCGCCAGGACACAGTCTCACTCAGTGTGAGCAGCCTTGGAAGACCTGGGCCGGAAGACCCGGGCCCGAAGCCCGTACTACGGTAGGAGGCATATTATTAAATGTAAACCCCCGCCCTAGTGTCAGCTTGTAACGCCAAGATAGAACGCCACAAAATAGCTCAATTAGGAATAATCTATTATCTATCTTACACCAAGTGTGCATCCCATTAGCATCTATAACTACCTGGCATCTTGGTAAAATTGATTGGAGTAGTTTTAGAATAAGATAGAATCAGTAGAGGAAGCTCAATGCGTCGAACGCGGTGAATGATCCCTCTGGGTAAGACGTCATTTTTACAAGCGCGGTAAGGCTATCTGTATGAAGGTCGTTTATGACAGTTTTACTAGGGAGAGGGTTAAATGCCTCTTACCGTAGTACAGCCCTTCAACTTTAGTAACTCTACTCCGTACAGCGCCACCAAGCCTTGATTACCGCGGCAATCCGGATATCTCGAATATTGTACCTGTTCCTGTACCAGTCCTTTGGGATCTTGCTTCATTGAGCTGTCATTTTACCAAGGTACGTTGACTTTCGCCTTAAAATACAACCTTGTCGCACTGACAATTGGAGCGGAGAGATATCGAGCTTTGGTGGATCCCGCGAGTTAGCCACTTGGCAATAACGACATATCAACGCCATCGGTCATGGCCTCTGAGGTGGTAACCTTGATCAAAAAAGGTCGTATCGCTATCATCACGCTCAACCAGCCCAAGAAGCTGAATGCAATGAATCAAGACGGCTACTACCGACTATCCTGCCTGCTGCAAGAAGTTGCGAAGATGGATGATATAAGTATAACGGTCTTGACGGGTACAGGCCGCTACTTCTCTGCAGGTGCCGACGTCACAAGTATACGACCAGGTCGAGACGGCAATGTGGACAAAGGCCAAGTCAGAAGGGATATTCTGCGGACTTTTGTAAGCAACAATCTGGACATCACACGTGCCTTCTATACACACCCAAAGATTCTGGTCACAGCATTAAATGGGCCAGTTGTTGGACTTTCGGCGGCCCTGATTGGGTTCTCTGATTTCATATACGCTACGCCACATACGTTTCTGTTAACACCATTCTCGTCCCTTGGCCTGGTGACTGAAGGTGGCTCAAGTATCGGATTCGTGCAGCGATTAGGGATTTCAAAAGCAAACGAAGCCCTCATCATGTCGAAGAAGATCACAAGTGAGGAGCTTGCGCAGACGGGGTTTGTGAACAAGATTATCCAAGGCAAGCATCAGAATGACCATGAGGATTTCTTGCGCCAGGTATTGGATGAAGTCGAGGATAAGCTGGGTGAGCATCTTAACCAAGAGAGTCTGGTTAAGATCAAGGAGTTAATACGAAGGCCATATAATGAGGTACTAGAGGCCCAAGGTGCGAGAGAGGTCATGGAGGGTATGGCTAGGTTGGTGAGCGGAGCACCACAAGAGGAATTCAGGAAGCTCGCAAGCGGCGAGAAAAGGCATAAGCTTTGAGGATAGAGAAAAACGCCGTCGTCATCATCATCATATAAATATCCCGATGCAGATTGACAAAACCTTGGGTCATCGTGATGCCGTCCTTCCATGACCTTGTGTCTCTTCATTATCGCTTTCGTCCTGAAATCCTTCCTCTAAATCGCGGCTCAATCTTCGATCAGAGTTTCCTGTACCGTTAGACCTTTCCAAACGTACTCGTCGTTGTGTGTCAATGTCGAAGCCTACTAGCCCTTCCCCTTCCTCCTCGTCGAACAAACTTCCATTCACTTCACCACTGCCATAACGACTGCCAGGAGCTCGACTGTTAAGCCAGGCCGACGGAAGAACGAATCTTACAACAGCATCGGATATTCGTGAACGTAGAGATGATGTGTGCTGTGATATGGTCTCTAGAGGTAGGTACTGTGCATATCTCTGACGGTGCTGGCGATACAACGGAATTATTGCATAGCTGAGGAGAAGGTAAATAGAAAGAGATATCAGAGCGGGAATGAGGATCGTCTGCCATGCGTTAATTGATATTGCTAGACGTGCTTGGGGGTACGCTACTTTAAAGAAATCGCCAAAGGAGCCCATTGCCGGCTAAAATGAAAAGACTGGGAGGGCGTGCACAGAAGACCGCGTCCACTTCCAACCCAGCTTAATCAGGACGTCTTGCAAGATCAAAATATTGAATGCCACAAGAGGCGTCCCTTATCAATAGCAACATGGACAATTCTCATAGCGCAGCAGGATGCATGGTCTAGCACTGGGCACTGAAGGGAATCCTGTGACTTGCCGCGGCGCCGCGTCTTTCGGTTCAAACAGCCGCAGAAGCGCAGGGTGATTTGGCAAGATCTGCGGCTTTACAAAGCTTCTTGAGAATTCCGCAAATTGAATCGGAAGGTCAACCGAGTACAAATTTCCCAAGGTCTGCATGTATTTATCGCTTTCGTAATGCTACAACTCCGTCATAAACGATCATCTGATCAGGTAAGTCCTCAAGATAGTATACTGAGGCTATCGGTCTCTCGTGTCGATACCAGAGAAAAGCTTGCTGCCGCTAAAACTGTCCCGATCTGCACTTGTTCATGTTCATCCCTTCTGCGAGTCTAGCACGAAAAGTGAGGTTCAAGTCGTCTTGCTTTTCACCAAATCGGTTACCACATGCCAGACTCTATCACGCCCAATGGTCAATCTGAAAGCCCTCCTGTGACACCAGACGTCGAGTTAGACGTGCAGAAGTTGCACTCCCTTCCTTCCGAGCAGCAAGATCTATTCCTTCTTACATTTCTCTCCGATCTTGTTCGTCATGTACAGACCCTCAACAACGACGCTCTCCCAACACATCAAGCATCCATCAAGAAACAGCTCATTATTATTCTGAACCTGTCCTCTCCAATACCCAGCCGACCTATCCGTGAAACCCTCGGGATCGTATATGCTGAAATCTTCGCCCGAGGGAGCCGAAGCCTGCTTTACGAGTCGATTAATGAGTTGCTGGATATCATCAATGCTGGGAAGGCCGAGAAGGATTTGAATAACAAACATGCGGCAGTAGTGTGTCTTGGACGCCTTCTGCAAACAGCAGGCGACAGTGCCGTCAGCCTGTCAGGGCTCGTATGTAACAGCTTATTGAAGCTCTTGAAGCATTCTCAAAATCATGCTGGACTGCGTGCTGCAATATACAAAGCACTGGGTCGTGCTGTGGAGGGGCTCGGGGGGTCCCTGGATGAGCATTCCGCTCGGGAGGTGTGGAAATCAGCAAGAGCCGCAGCATCAAATGAAAAGGCTTCACTCTCTCAGAAAACAGCCTGCTACTGCCTCGAAAGGCTTGTATCTGCAACCGTACACTTTGAAAATGCAAACGATTTTGACGCACTGAAGACTTCAGTATGGAGAGCTCTCGAGTGTCCGGTTGCTAGCGTTAGACACGCTGCGGCCTCTACCCTTGCGTCCGCATTCATCAAGCTCTTTTCAGACTCCGAGTCTTTCTCCAACTCTCATAAGTCCACCAAAGGACTTAGGAAGGGCGCTGCTGTCATCGATGGCCAAGAAGAAATCGAACGACCAAGTTCTCCAGCTTCCAAAAAGCATGCTGTCTCGTTATCTTTGAATTTACACGACATTCTTCGAACACTGGCTAGCCACTATACCAAGTCCTCCACAACGAATCGAGCAAGGGCTGGAATCGCCTCTTGTTACAGGTATACACTTTTACGGTTACCTGAAAAGGTCATTGAGGAACGTTATGGTGTCATAGCAAATCATTTGTTCAACGATATACTTAACCACCCGACCATTTCCTATTATCGCTACAGGCTGCTGCTCAGTCGGCGAATGGTTCGGGCAATTTTGGATACTGCCGTTGGATTCAAGGTATTGAGTGGAAGCGCACAGCTGAGCGCAGCGCAATGGCTTGTAAATGATGTCCTGAAGAACTTTCCACAAACACTTCCAGATCGGCGAGAGCCTCCAAAACAGGTAATCATTGCCGCCCTCAACTCTCTGTCGAATCTCTTGTCTTGTCTGGGTCCAGCAGCGGGCACTCTTGGGGACAGTTGTCGCGAAACTCTACTTCAGGTGCTGCAACACACCAGCTACAGTGTACAGATTCATGTCGCTTATTGTCTTCGAGCCTTGGTTTTGGCATGCCCACAGCAACTTCTAGTTTGTGCAAACAGCTGCATGGGCTTCATGATGAAGAATGTAAGCCAGCTGAACGAATCTCGACTATATCAAAGGAGAAGTTTTGGTTACGCAGCCGCACTTGCAGCTGTAATAAGCACTGCGAGAGCTCTGCCGCTATACGGGTCTGTCGAAGTCTTCTCTCAGGTCCTGAGTACAGCAACGGATTTATTAAAGGCCAGCAGCGATACAGAACTGAGAGTATCGGCCACCCAGATCCAAGTCGCTTGGACTCTGATCGGCGGTCTTATGCCGCTTGGACCCAATTTTGTCAAGATACATCTCTCTCAGCTGCTGTTGCTGTGGAGGAATGCCTTACCAAAGCCATTGACCCAAAACAATGCAACAAAAAGGGGTTCCCTAGAAATGAGTTTCCTTGCCCATGTGCGCGAATGCGCCTTGGGTGCACTCCTTGTCTTCCTTGAGTATAATGGCAGCCTGATCACAACTGATGGATCAAAAAGGATTGCAACGATGCTGCAAAACACCATTGCTTTTCAGGAGTCTGTTCCTGCCCATCGGCAACCTGAAGAAGTCGCCCATCGCCTAACACCAGCGTTGCAGCTACAAGACCTAGTAATTATGGTCCAAAGGCGTGTCCTGCAGTGTTTCACAAAACTGATCAGCCTCAGCCACCTCGAAGCTACTGGCATCTTGTCTCACTCAAATCTGTTGAGTTTAGCTGTCATCGCTTTTGCAGAGCCCCCAAGCCCTTCAGATCAAAGTATAGAGTTATCGATCGCAACTTCTCCCAGCAACTTTGAGAGTCTGTGGGAACTGGCTGACAATTGGGGCTATGGCATTAACGGGCTAGTCTGTGGTCATCGTGTCGAAGTGCTTGGTCACGATCGTGGTCGTAAGGTGTTAGAGGACATCGAAATAATTATGGATGAAGAGGAGGGATTGGACGACACTGTGAGATTGCCTTTTCCACGCAGATCAACCAAGTTTGCTGACGACAGTAGCTATCAACACCTGTTTGCAGAGCTCTGGAACACGATTCTTTGAGTCTGTACCTGCTCGGACCCCTTGACTCTAGCACGGAGGTTGACCCTCCGCCAACGCAGGTCGTCAATGCCGCAATTGACTTATTTGCGGTTGTACTTCCTTTACAGCCTCAGAAGGTTCAGGAGGGCAGTCTGGAGCAGCTTGCCACGCTCTTGACACGGCCGTATAGCAGGGAGCCAGGCAAAAAAGCAGCGTTATGTGTGAATGTTGCCACTGCTATCCTCTGTACTATGGTAGTTGCAAATCGGGAGACAAGGTATTCACCTGGCAAATTAGCCACGTCGTCCATAGAGAAAATCGCTGGAGATGTTGTCCAGGTGAGCATGTTCAGACGTCCTTCCCAGCAAGCTGACCTAGAGCAGGAATCTATTATGCATGCAGACCCCTTCGTACGGACCCTTGGCGGCGAAGCCATCGGGCGCATGTGCAATCTTTTTGGAAGCCCTTTCACTAACTCACAAGTAAAACAACTTGTAGACACGATTGTGGCGAACAGGGACCCCAACATTCGTGCCGGATGTGCTTTGGCTCTAGGCTGCATACACGCGCAGGTGGGAGGCATGGCTGCTGGGTTCCACCTCAAAACCATAGTGGGAGTTCTATTGTCTCTGTGTAATGATCCACATCCAACTGTTCATTTTTGGGCTATGCAAGGGTTGACAAAGGTCGCTGACTCTGCAGGATTGAACTACTCAGGATATGTTGCAAGCACTCTTGGCATGCTGGCTCGTTTGTTTACTAGCGATTCCCATACAGAAGAAGCCATGTCTCTTGCTACATCGAATCTTGAGCTCGAATATTCTACACCTTTACTTGTCGCCAAAGGCATTGACTCTCTCATCAATGTGCTGGGTCCCGACTTACAAGACATGAGGAACGAGAGGGGCTTGATAGAAAAATTGGTCAACTACTTCCGTTGCGAAGAGTCCATTCATATGGTCATCGAGGGATCAATGTGTTCAAGTCATCTGTCTCTCTATACACCCAGCCATCTTGACTTCCCTGACCATGTAAGGAACCTTCAGAAGGGCCTCCGCTCAGCAGAAGAGAGGATTAGAGACATCTCTGTAGATAGTCTCAGCGACCTGGTAAAAAGAGACGTCAAAGGGGTGTTTTCCGCTTCTGGCTCTAGCCTTGCGGACGACCTTTGGCTTGTTCTCGACCAGCATCCTGATCATACAGGAATCCAGCATATCCTACAAGACTGGCTGCACCAAACCTATGATGAAGACACTATTGAATGGATTGAGCGCTATCAAGACGTTCTTTCGAAGACCAGAGCTAAGCCAGAGAACATAAACTCCAAAGCGGATAAGCCTGCTGCACTTCCGGACCTACAGGATGAAGAGGTAGCCGGCTTCGCTGCCGCCGCAGCGGCTGCACAAGGGGACAACGCAGAGGGGTCACTTCAAGGACAAGAGTTTCTGAAATGGCAGACACGAAGCTTTGCGATGTCATGCCTCAGCAGACTCATCTCATTGATCAGCCAGGCTGCCTTACCGGATCAAGCTATACCAGCAGAGGTTGCCCTCCAGAGCAAAATCGCGGATGTTATCCGCATGGCCTTCTCTGCCTCAACGGCTAATGTTGTGGCGTTACGCATCTGGGGCTTACGGATCATCGACCAGATTTTGAAGGTACTTGTCAACTTAAGAATCAAGATCTCGCTGACCCGCCACTAGCTGTTCGGGAAGACGCCTGATCCCGATTTCCTGGAAGCATCACTTCTAGAACAGTATCAAGCACAGATCAGCTCAGCTCTGACGCCGGCCTTTGCACAAGACTCGTCACCTGAACTTGCGTCAGAAGCTATCAATGTCTGTGCTACTTTTGTTGCTACCGGGATTGTTACTAGCGTAGAGCGGATGGGGCGCATTTTTAAATTACTGGTCACTGGGCTCGAAAGCATCTCCGGTTCGTGCATTCATCCAATGGATCGGGGAAGAAGCTGATTACTTGCAGAGACATCTGCGAGTACTTCGATTGGAGATCTAAGAGTTCTAAGCACCAATGCCCAGGTCATGCTGAGGCTCTCTCTCCTGTCTGCATGGGCTCAGCTGCAGATTGCGAGCACGGAACAGCGATACCTGCAGTCCATAGTCGAGCCGTATCTCGCAAGACTGACGCCGTTCTGGCTCTCCTCGCTACAAGATTTTGCCAAGCTAAGGTTTGAGCCTGACATCTCAAGCTCGCTGGGTGGCACCAGCAGTGGCCAGAACCTGAATGAGCTATATGCTGCCCTCAACCGAGAGATCCTTCTTCAGTTTTACGAGGACACGTGGCTCAGTTTGATTGATGCTATTGCCATTCTGGTCGATAAGGACAGCGGCTTTGTCTTCGATGCTCTGGACAATCGACAGTCCGCTTTGGCCAGCGACTCTGGCACGATAGAGCCAGCTGGTAAAGAGATTAGTTTTCGAGAAGAACCGGTTGCATTCTTCTTCATCCTCTATGGTTTGGCATTCGAAGCGCTTGTGACACAAAGTCGTGACAATCCAATCCTAACTTTGAAAGTTCTCCAGGCTTTACAGAAGATCCTTCGCCCTGCAGTGTCAGGAAACGCGATATATCAGGATACAGTGTTTGACGAAACAATGGACATACTTGATCGTCTTGCTCTGACAGAAGGACTTGGAATACAAAATGCTCTGATCGAAATCACGCGAAGTCTTGCGTTAGATCACCAGGCAGCTGAGTCTGGAGTAAGACGAGAAGAAAAGTTGTCCGATGATGTTGAACAGCTATTTGAGTTGACCCGCGTCATGATCTTGATTCTGGCAGGCATGATCCCTACATTGGGTCAGTCATCAAGCCAACAGTCTCGGCCCCATGGCAGTGAAGCTGTTGCACTTATTTGTACGGCGATGGATGCTTTGGTCGATGTTGCGGATGTTTTCCCCACCGTTATCAAATCGGATCTTTACGCCTGCATCACAAACACCTTCTGCTCCATCCTGGCATGTGGCACTTTCCAGTCAACTGTGGTGCCATCGACATTCCCAACGTTCAAGAGGTTCTTGCAGTCGATCATTTCGTTCGGCAAATCTCATAATGTGGAGAGGTTGCTTCGAGGCTGTTTGTGGCAATTCTTGCAGATACTGATGCATGCGCAACGTCGCGATACCGAGTTTTCCCTGCCTTGTGCGAAGAATACACTGCTTGCGATAACAATCTTGCTGACATCTGTCGGTAACATCTTTTCTCCTCGTGAAGAACTTATCATCAAAGCGCTCGAAGAGATTTTGAGTTGCCTGCATGATGTGGGCCTCGCAAAAGTTGCCGCCAATTGCGTCCGGTCACTCCTGTTCACCCCTTCGAAGACCGCTCCTGACGAAGCTATCTTCCGGTATCTTCTTCCTCGACTACTCCACTTCCTTGTCGATACTTCTACCGAGGACCCTGAACATGTGAGAGTGGTTGTGTCGCAAGTGCTAGCCTCTACAGTGAAGACGGTGCCATCAGGATCAAGATCGATTCTTTCAGCAATGATCGTTCCGACTCTGCTACAGCGTGCTACTATTGAAGGCTCCACCGTGCACGAAGAAACGGCCATGCGGCTATTGGAAATAGCAAGTGCGGATCAGGCGGCTTTCAAGGGTTTAGTTGGTCGGATGGGAGGAGAGCAACGTGAACTTCTGGAGATCATATTGAGATCACAACGAGGAGAAGGCAGGCAGGATCAAGTAGATAGTGACGACGTCGATAAGAAACCATCCATAGCGCTACGGATGGATTTCTGAGGGAAACACAGGTCCCAGTTAATGCCTATACCAGGCAAATGGGTAATCTTTGAAAGACGTGCTTTCGAGCGATGGAATTCCCTCTGCTCCGGGGAAGTGCGTATTAGCATGATACTGCTCTCGTTCTGGAGGAAATTATGAGTATATGAAGTGACGATCGTCTTTGGGACCTCCTAAGCAAGTCGGCGACTCCCAGGTTGCCATCTAAAGAGTTCTAGGCAAAATGCTTCTGCCATCTACCAGTGGTTAACAGCAAACATCGAGCCTTCCTTTGTATCCCTCGTGATTAACATCATCCATTGACCGAGCAGTCATCTACTATTGTCCAGCTTCACTCTCTCTGAGGACACGGACGAGTTCTGTTATTCACTTTCTGACAAGACATGGACTTCGATCCAAAGATTGGTTGAGTCTACCAATAGTGCTCAACCCCTTCATCAGTATCTCTGACTCCCCTTTCAGCCAAGTTCCAAACTTCTGATCCTACCTCATTCGCCTATATAACTGTAAGGAAAAGATGGCCTAATATCCTGGTTCGTGATCTTCTATTAAGTTCCCATCTATCTCAGATACTCAGAAGATTTAGACCGGAGCGATTGATGATGTTCATCGCGCAGTTGGCGAGGTAGAAGCGTCAAACAATGACAAGATCAAAGACGGCAAATCAATTGTTGAGCAATTGGCAAAGCTGAAATATGAGCTCCAGCACAACCGCCAGTTATCGTGAGGTATTTCATTAGACACCGTGACCTCAAGCTGACTGACATATAGGCGTCTTGAGGACGATGATGAGGCGGATGTAGAGAGCTACAATGCCGAACTGAAGGCTCGTGGGGATCCGACATGGCACAACGTGGAATGGCTTTACTCAGAATGCTATTTGTATCGGCGCATCAGCAGCCTCTTTCGGCGTTCTAAGCATTGGAAAAGCTACGATGTCTTCGGACGGCAAAAGATGTCTACTTTCAAGTCATCAAGACCCGCTGTTCTCGAGCTTGCGACGAAGTACAAGGCGATCGTAGAACAGACTAGGCAAAAATCTACCATCGTCTCCTCCAACGAGCCCACTGAAATCGAAGAGGCAGAGAAAGTCTTGTTCATGGAGATGTGCGAGATTTGTCTATGGGGCAACGCTACCGATCTCTCGCTCTTGACGTCTCTCAGCTACGAGGATATCCAAAAGCTGCAGGGAGCCAATGCACGCAAAGAATCAGAGAAGAATATCCTTGTGAATGACTTGCCAGCAGCGTTTGCTACCCTCCAGAAAGCCAAGAAGGCTGGCAGAAAATCAAGAGTCTCGATAGTGCTGGACAATGCAGGATTTGAGCTCTTCGTGGATCTGATTCTGGCAGGGTTCTTGCTGACAGGAGGGCTTGCTTCAGAGGTCATTCTACATCCGAAGTCGATACCATGGTTCGTGAGTGATGTCGTACCCAAGGATTTTGTGGATCTTCTCAACGTGATGGCCGATCCACAAGCTTTTTATGCTACAGATATCGGCACATCCAGTGACACGACCCCAATGCCTTTGATGGAAGAGGAGGTGGGAAACCTTAGGTTTCTGTTCGACAACTGGAGCAATCTGCATCGTGAGGGCAAGCTTTTGCTACGACCTAGTCGATTTTGGACACATCCTGGGAGCTTTTGGCGCATGCCGCATACAGCTCCTGAGGTTCTGGAGGACCTGAAAGAAAGCGAGCTTGTCATCTTCAAGGGCGATCTCAATTATCGGAAATTGACTGGTGATGTAAGGGAAAGGAGACTGCCCTCTGTGGAATGCTTACTGATACTCGTGCAGGCAGCTTGGGATCCCACGGCGCCTTTCGCCGACAGCCTTGGCCCGCTTGGAAAAGGATCCGGTGTACGTTCGCTCGCATTGAGAACTTGCAAGGCTGATGTTGTGGTCGGGTTGCCTCCGGGCCGAGATGAAGAACTTAGACACACCGAGGGAGGTGGAGGCGACTCAGGGGCAAGAAAATGGGCATGGAGTGGTAAATGGGCTCTTGTGCAGCTTTGTGATGGAAAGATATAGATGGGGATTATGCTTTCAAAATCGCTTCGAATGGCGTAAAGGATAGTAAAAGAGAAAAAACCATGAAGGCCCTGTAGCCGGATCGCCTAACCACTCAAGACGTGTTTGCAGAAATATTCAGATGCCGTTACTCCAGATGCACTAGTCATCATATCTCGCTTGATTTGTCGCTGCTCCACCGCCCTTGGCCCCGGTGCCAGCCGTTGCCCGGAGACCCCTGGCCGACAAGCCATTCCGGGGTTGCCTTGCAGGAGATAATCATGGTCAACCGGCCAGAACAAGCCATTTCAAAATCTCCATGATGTGAGTGCAAGTAGGTTCTTCCCTACTCTCATTATCTGCTGCTTGCCGCTGTTCTCATATCTTTCTTTATTCCAGTGCCAACACAGCCCCTCGTAGGCTGAACACTATCCTACACTTTGTCCCCTTACCTCCCTCCACCTTCCCCGTTGAAGGGGAGTAAGTAGTAATCCGTCAACAATGGCCCACACCTCCACCTCCACCGACCGCTCGCAACGACGACCCTCAGAGCCCTACCTCTCCTCCCTAATCCGCTGGCTCCAACTCAAAAAGTACCAATACGAAGTCACCTTCTCGCTGTACATGCTTACATCAACCGAGAAATTTATCTTTAGTACGACCCCTTCTCTCCTGCCCACCCTCGTCCTTCCCGTTTCTACCTGCCTACCTACGTACTCATCTGCGTCGACTTCTCAACCGGCAACTTTGGCTGACGGACAACGTTGTTCTGTGTCTAGATTTCGTCCTCTTCGTCCTGATCTCCATGCTCGTCGCAGCAGCGTCGATGTATCTGCCGAATCATGTTGTGATTATCTATCGGCGGATATGGTATTATGTGCATGGGGAGATTGCTAGTATCACCAAATCAGCCTCTGGTGGTGGTGGTGGTGTTGGTGGAGTGGGGGATGTGGTGAAGACTAGTATTGATGGGTTGGGGACGAGTAGGGGGGTGGATGTGGTGACTGCTACGTCGAGGGGGCTGGGGGAGCTTTGATATGGTGATGGAAGGGTTGAGGTATGTGGAGGGTTTGGACGTGCATTTAGCGAGGGCGTTTTGTAGACAGGTCAACGGTTGGCTGTCTCGGGCATACCGTTAAAAGTCATGGGCATCTTAATGCATGATAGACAGGATCGCGCAAAAGAACTAGCAGGCTCGATTTGTGGAGATTGTTGTGATATTGCTGCATCCAAGATCTTACAACTGATTCATTAGAGTTGAATGTTCTGCACCGGGTATCAAGATCATTGCTGTTCAAGTGAAGCTTCTTTCCTATCCCCATAATAATATCTCTCTACCCCTATTGCGCAATTTATTTGATATATATTATATTCTTCGGGGTTATTCCACCGTCGTCCCACGCAAACTCTCTGTGGTCCAACGGCAGGCAGTAAAACCGGCTCTAACCAAGCTAAGTTTTCATAGCGGATGTGTTCTCTCCTTCCAGTATCTACCTAACCCTCGGGCGGTAGAGAGTGGAGAGCACAGATGAAGTGATCTTTTTGGTTCGAGGCGCAGTGCAGGAGTGTTTTTTATTTTTATTTTTCTGCCTTTCTAGGCCGCATGCGTGCAGCCTTGCCCTTCTAGGATGCGAGAACAGACGCCTCTCAGATGCCGCGCTTTATGCCAAAATCAGATATCCACTCCATCTTCGTCGCTAGCTCTTCTCCTCCAGGCCCCCATCCACCTCTCGGTCCGTCTTTCGTATCGCTCCACCACCCAACTTCAAATCCTCTAACCTCCTTCTGTTCTCCTTCTCCCTCGTCTCCCGTGCGATACGTCTCACCTCATCCCGGATCTCATCTCGCTCGAAGGGTATTCGATGGCTGTTTTCTTGGGAGGGCCAGAAGTTTTCGACGGTGAAGCGGTCTTCTAGGTTGGTGCCGAAGTAGTACATCCAGCCTATTGGAAAGAGAATGTACATTCCGAACTAGAAAGGTAAGATGGTTGGAATCGGGGCCCTGAGTGGGATGGGCCAAGAGAGTGCGGAACGAGGTCCGGAGGGGGATGGCTTCGGGTAGGGGATGTCTACCTTGAAGACTTCAAGGTTGGGACCCCGGAGGGTACGGAGGATGGAGGAGAACATCGTATTGTGATGCCAAATGCAGATTGCGAAACAAGGGGTGCGAGTGTGGAAGAGCACAATGCAGAGGAGAGGCTCGTCTGAGCAAGAAGTCGAGCGAAGTCGATGTCGTCGCAAGTCCTGTAGGGCTGAGATCCGGCATCTGGGTCGGGGTGCAATTCCCCAATTGGGAGGAGTAGATCTTGGCACCGAGGTTCTGCCGGCCGAACATCAGAAATCAGAAATCAGAAACTGAGCTGGAATTATTCAGTATTACTCCTTACTACGTACTGCATCAGCTTGCTCCAAAGCACCCATCGTTGCCGCATGGGTATATTGGCAGCGTACAGACCATTTGTCTACCGCTGTTTCTCTTCACCATGGCAGATATGCCCTCAGCGAGCTCAGCGAGCTCAGCGCGGATTGAGTTGCACAGCCCTTCTGTCATCCGGCCATAACAGATGGTCGAAGATCAAACATGACAAAGGCAAGAACGATGCTGCAAAGAGCAAGGCACGCTCCCTATTATGCCGTGATGTTATCTTAGCATCGAAACGTAAGAAACTTCTGGCCCTGACGAATGCTGGTGTGATATACTGACCTGTCGCTCAGTTGGTGGTCCTGACCCGGCCTTTAATCCTCGTCTAGTCGCAGCCATGGCAAATGCAAAGAAGGGTGCTCTATCCCAGGCCTCCATCGAGTCAGCCGTCGCGCGAGGCCAAGGCAAGTCGACCAGCGGAGCAGCGCTCGAGTCGTTGACCATAGAAGCAATGCTACCCTTCTCTGTGGGGGCAGTCATTGAATGCCAGACCGACGGGAAACTGCGTACTCTGCAGGACATCCGGGCAATGATCCTGCGGCGAGGAGGATCTATCACGCCTACAACGTTTTTGTTTGAAAGGAAAGGAAAGGTGGTCTTCGAGAAAAGGGATGGAATCTCGACTGATGAGGTGCTGGATCAAGCGATCGAGGCTGGAGCTATGGATGTGGATATGGACCAGGATGGCAGGCTGGTAGTGGAAACTGAGCCGAGCGAGATATCGGTGGTTGCACAACGCTTGAGCAAGTCGTTGGGCGTGAAAGTGGAATCCTCGGATATTATACATGATCCCAAGGACGATACCACGGTGTCTCTGAATGAGGAGAATATGGCAGTAATCGAGGATCTTATTGCGCAGATCGAGGAGGAGCCCAGCGTGCAAGATGTGTACATAAATGCCGCGTGAGCAAATAATTTGGTTACCAATAACCAGTGTAATACTATTTGGACAATCTCGGCATTTTCTTCTGGCCGTGGGTCTTGTCATAAACTGGTGTTGTCTCGTCCACATTGCTTCCAAGTCATTCCCTCTACACCAGTCTGGGAGCCCGTGATCTGCCATCTATTGCTTTTTGTGACATGCACATTTAGTCATGTAACGATGGTAACACTAATAACCATTTCTATACCAAGGGTTACAGAAATCTTTCTCGCTGTTGGCCCGTTACCTATCCCATGCCATGGACCTTGCACAGGACGCAACTCTATGAGCCCGCGAAGATCTCGATGACTATCTCAACCACAAATTCTGGTTTTGGCATCAGCAGCACTATCTCGGACACTGCCCGTGATCCCTGGCTGATGTTGCTCCCAGCTTGCTCCAACCACCTTCCGATTTATTCCATCTGTGGGTAAAACATATTATCTCGCTACTCACCGCAAGAGAGCCCCCTTCTCATCACCACGACCATCATGGCCTCTGCTGGAAGTGATGCAAGGGCCCTGAAGTCGTGGGAAGAGGCTTTCACCTATCCTATTGCTACCACACGGCAAATTGAAAAGCAGCTTCGAAATGACATCGCAGCCAACAAGGAGAGACTACGGACACTCGTAGGGTGAGTCAACCATTTTTTTTGGTTCACTGGTCAACATGGCTCATGTCTGATTGCCAGCTCGAGCTATCGTGATCTTCTTGGTACCGCAGATCGGATCATCCAGCTAGACCATCGGATGCAAGAGACCGAGGAGCTGATGGGAGAGGTGAGCCTTCAGTGCAATTCAGATGTTATCGACAAGAAGGCTAGGCACCTTGCACAATTGCAAGAGCAGGCCGCGCAACAAAGTCCGTTCTTGCCGACCTGCCGTCTATAAAACGTCAAGGCTGATGTTCTTCTCTGGCAGAATCAGGTGGGAGGCAGCTTGCAGCTCAGCTCTCTCTTCTCCAGAAATGTCACAAATGTCTTCCAAGACTGTTCCGGCGAGGCGGATCCGTCCTGACCGCCGCGAAGGTGCTGGCAGTGTCGCGGCTTCTGACCAAGCGCATCGGTCAGGAAGATAATGCACCTCCACTCTTGAACTTGATTAAGGAGCAGCTAACCTCACAGAGACGACGACTACTCAGAAGAGTGGACCTGATACTCATCAGTCCCGAGTCAAGCTTACATCAGCTGATTGAGGCTATATGTGCATTCTGCATTGTAACCAGCTCCTCATCCAATGATGCTATACGCCACTTCCAGGACCTACGACTTGATGAGATCAGACGATTGTCAGATGCCTCCGAGAAAGGGCGTGAGGGTGTACTTGAAGGCTTTCATTACTACCTCCAATCGCTGCGAACGACTCCCAAATTATTTGGCCGACAATTCTCAGACGCAATGAGAGACTTACGAGGCCAGCCCTTGTTGCGCAGCACTGACATAGAGTCGCTAGAGGAACTGGATCTTGCAAAAGTTCAGCAGTTCATTCCCACTGAGATCTTGAGCTTCGTGCCGTGGATCAAGCATACAGACAGTCCATTGGCTGAAGCGCCCTCCATCCTTGGAAAATGGTCCAATGCCGCATTTGAAGACCTCTGCCTGGCTCTCAAACGCACAGCCAATGAGCTCTCCGATACCTCTGAGCTGTTGAACTTTCGCAAGCAAGCCCTCGAGGTCTGGCTACCGCTTAGTTCTTCCACCTCTACGCACTCCAATGCAGAGATCTTCCAAGCGCTGAGAAGTATCTTCAATACTCGCATCAAGGGTCTGCTGCATGCCAGAGCAGGATCGCTCTCGGTCATTGCATCCGATATCGAGTCGGTTTTGGAGGAGGGTGGTGATGATACCACGCCGTCCTGTCTATCGATATGGGATCATGACTTGGCGACAGCATCACTTGGCAAAGGTGCTTCTACCTTCAAGAGACGGCTGATAGATCGCCACCTTGGCCATTCCAAGACCACTACCCTAATTCTTGCTTCCCTCCAACGTTGGACAGCAGCTATGTCCAATAGCCTCGAGCAGATCGAGCAGGTCCGAACGACGCGGTGGATCGACTTTATCGAAGAGGATGAGGATGTCGATGACGATGGCGATGGGGACGATAAGACGGAAACAATTGAGAGAACTCTCCAGAAGGACGATCCGGATCAATACGAGCATGAGCACAAGTCATCACTTGATACCGCGACACTTGAGTTCCAAAGCAGGATCAAGGCAGCCGTCGAAACCCTCCACGAGAGCGAAACACCGAAAGCAATCTTCCTCCTCCGCACCATCCGAGGCATATACCACCACATGACCAGCTCCAGCATCCAGCAACAAGACCTCCCGATCCTTGCTTCCGCAATCCCACGTCTACACCATCTGCTCGCCACGAACACCACCTCAACCCTTCTAGGACCCATCCACACCTCCTCGTCCTTGGTGCAAAGGCACAAGATAAAGGCCCTGGCTCGTTTATGGGAAGGCGATCCGCCGCTCCCGACCCACCCCTCTCCACCGGTGTTCAAGCTGCTGCAGCGCCTGACTGGCATCATGGCGGATCAGGGACCCGATCTCTGGTCTGGCGATGCTGTTGAGGAGGTCAAGAGAGCGGTGAGGAAGGAGATTGTGGAGAGAAAGTTGCTACCGCTGGAAACGAAGGTTTGGGTGAACGGCACAGAGGAGAAGCCGAAACTGGCCAATGGGACGACAGACGATGGAGACGGAAGGAAAGCAGACCGGCAAACCTCCACCCAGGTTCTTTTCGATGTTTTCTACCTCCTCCTCCACGCGTTGGAGCTCCGGGGTGAAAGCGGATCCGACGCCGTGACCTCGGAGACGCTCATCCGCCATCTCAAGGACAGTGTTTCGCGCCATCTCGACGCAGCCGCCATGACGGCCTTGGAGTCACGAGCCAAGGATTACTGGGCCAGGACGAGTCTGCTGTTTGGACTGCTTGCATGATGAGCCTCGATCGATCAAGCGAGACAACGCAGATCCGCTCGTGGGGTCGTGCATGCATCGACCGCTCACTGTTCATGCAGCATGGGTATCCCAGGCAAGCTGATTTTTCGGACATGTAACCAAGGGCTCGCGACGCAACGCGGTTCGTTTCTGCCTGTTCGCTTTCGAGAAGGAAGAGGGGGGGAGGGGAAACCCAGCAAGGCGAGGTAGGAGTGGGCATGTCGGGCGCGCCGGATGGATGGGTAAGTCACTTGAGTAGCGGAGGCCGATTGAAAGGGGCATCTTGATAGATTTTGCGAGATAGCACGTACGAGCTAGTTAGGTGGTTGGGCAGTGTGGATATTCGATGTCGGCGTCAGGGTGGCCTCTTTGTTTGAAATTATGGAGCCCGGCGAGGGACGGACGGAGAGAGAGAGAGAGAGGGTTCAATATTGAAAGTGTATGGTACTGTACTTCTAGGTCTGGATTTCCCACCGTGGCTGTGACCGGCGAAAGACAGACCGATGCGGTTCCTCCTTGTCTGCTAAACGAGCGATGAGAAACTTCAAGCTCGACGTATGACTAGTTAGTCTGTCTAGTCGTCTTAGAAACGAGGGCCCCGTATCTGGTGTGGCTCGGAGTGACGATGTTTCTTATCCTTGGCTCTTTTCCCTCCCTCCCCCTTCTTCTTCTTCTTCTCCGCAACCCTCCTCTCAATCTCCTCCCGCGTCAGAATCGTAAACGCATCCTTGGAGAAGACGTAACTGGCGCCGCTCCACACCGTGGTCGCGGCAACCACGTACTGAAACGCACCAAAGATGGCGATCAGATGCCACGCGTCCACCAGCGCGGCCGGCAGCACGGGCATCAGCATGGCGGTGCCGACCAGCAACAGCTGCAGCAGGGTGTTCAGCTTGCTGATCTCGGTGGGCCGGACCTCGGCCGAGGGCAGGGAGAAGTCCCAGTAGCGGCGCATGGTCTTGGGCGGCGGCAGGCTGATCCAGCGGATGTAGATGGCGGCCAGGGCGAGGCCGGCGTCGCGCGCCAGGATGAGCGCGACGAGCGCGACGGGCAGGCTGCCCTGCACCGCGAGCGAGACGGCCGAGATGGTCATGAGCGCCTTGTCCGCCATCGGGTCGATGACGGTGCCCACCACCGTCTGCGCCTGGTAGCGTCGCGCCAGGTAGCCGTCGACCAGGTCGGTGAGCCCCGCGTAGAGGAAGAGCCCGCATGCCACCAGCGGCTGCGAGCTGAGGATGAAGTAGCCCACTGCTGGCGCGGCGAGGAGCCGGCTGAAGGTGAGGCTGTTGGGGAGGTTCCAGATTTTCTCGTGGGGGGTTCGGCTGCCGCCGCTGGATTTGAGCGTGGTGAGGATCTTGGCCCGGATGGTTGGAGTCTTTGGTGCTGGTGCTGGTGATGGGCTGGAAGGCGGTTGTCAGTGCTCTCTGTCCTTTTCAGGAGGAAATGATCTTTTTCCATAGGCATTCGATCAAAGACGCGGGACTGGAAGTAAACGGACAAGGTGCTGGCGCAGGATAAACAGGGTAATGCGACGTTTGATAATGTAACAATTCGTACTTGGGTGGATATCTAGCGCAGAAGGACAAGTCTGTGGGGGGTTCGGCTGTGCCGCCGCTGGATTTGAGCGTGGTGAGGATCTTGGCCCGGATGGTTGGAGTCTTTGGTGCTGGTGCTGGTGATGGGCTGGAAGGCGGTTGTCAGTGCTCTCTGTCCTTTTCAGGAGGAAATGATCTTTTTCCATAGGCATTCGATCAAAGACGCGGGACTGGAAGTAAACGGACAAGGTGCTGGCGCAGGATAAACAGGGTAATGCGACGTTTGATAATGTAACAATTCGTACTTGGGTGGATATCTAGCGCAGAAGGACAAGTCTTTCTTATGAACAAATTGGGGGCAAATAGGGGAAGAAATTTAAGGAAAGGACGGGGACTTGGAAAATTAATCATAGGGAGATGACAGACCTATTCGTCTCCGGTTTCTTATCCAAAAGCATGCCATGGCTCACGAAGAAGCGTCTTGTCGCAACGGTGGGTAATCCTGTCGCACTTCTGCCGCTTTTGAAGCAGGAGGAGTGGTGGTGGTGGTGGCTAGATTCGTTCTATCAGCTCAGAGGGGATGAGACACATCCAGATCGCCCGGGGCTGCTTCGTACCGACGACAGAGTCCAATGCATGCTCCTCTAGGGTCCCGCAAGTAAGATGCCCGCTCTGAAGGAGGAAAGGCGCGCGTGGCAAGTCTGCGAGAGGCAATGGTTGGTGTTCTGAACATCAATCGAGGAGACGTGTGTTGCAAGAGATTCAGTTGCCGTGGCAGCGGTACTCGGAGCGGAGATGCCATGACATCTTGTCGAGCTGTGTTTCAGTCTCTCCGCCTAAGTCATGCCGTGGATATGGTCAGTTGATAATTTGGGACTCTTGTGGGCATTGCAATTTGATACTCAGCGGCACGCGACATGGTTGGAACAGGCGGTGCAGGGTACAGGCGCTGGCAATTGGTTAACATACTAAGTTAGGCGCTTCTATCTAACTTGACTAACTAGCCTAAAGTGGGATAACTTGGGTGCCTTCTACCCTCACTAACTTACTTAGCAGAAAGAGACCCTCTGAAAGTGATGTCTAAATTACTATCAATGCGTGCTTGGTTTCAGCCTAATCATAACATAATCTAAGTTAGTTTGTATAGGAACATGTAGTTAAGACATCTGAAAGCGAATAAAATTGTGTCAATTTGGACATCTTTTCCTAAAATTATGGCCATTTGACGGTGAGATTATTGCTACCTGATCGCCCTTTGACGATCTTTATAATGACGTCCCGTCGATCAATTTGTGCAGGACCAACAGCGCGTCATTTTCGGATCCTTCTCCACGTAAAGTACTCGCTAGACTTCTTCATAACTCACACTCAAATCTCCCTCTCTCATCCACTGCTCTACTTACAGCTTAGGAGGCGTTGAATCAAGGGTTCGGTGGTTCAGAGACAGAACCGTACGCCGGCTCGCATCGGGCTGCTTCAGTGATTGAATGGGCGTCCAAAGTTAGGGAGAGGTACGTGAAGAAGTGGGTATCAATCTCTCTCCGCGCTATCTATGGCCCAAGGTCGAATTATCTCTTGCTCTTCTTTGATAGATGAGTTGACAGGACTTGCTTAGTCATCCGAGAGTCTGGAGTCACATGTCCACCCTGCAAATCCGGAGTAGAATGCACTTGGTAGGTAGTAGGATAAGCAAACTGCAAGACACCGATCTTCTGACAACATGGCCCTCCGGAGACGTTCTGTAACAATAAGATGAGGCTGTTTGGATGCCTCGGTGCGAATCCTTCAGGCCCTTGCAGATTAAACTGTTGGGGCTGGCCAGGACAAGAGATGTTTGGATAGCAACGTATGCTCGAAGCACAGCTGCCCACACCGGACGAGTGAGTGGCAAGATTCAAGTTATCTGCACAGCGTTGGCGCACCACCGAGCTATATCACATGTTACATTGTCATCCTTGTCATCATCGAAAGACGTTCCGGTCAATGCTGAGCGGCTATCCCACCATTCTGGCGGAAAATTTTGCCAATTCTTCATGGAAGTAGCCGCTGGCACATTTATCATTGGACCACTTCCGTTTAGCGCGCGTCTGTGGCTCTGCTGACCAATCAAAGATCTGGCAAATCTAACGCCAGAATGGTGGATAGCAGCACCATCTAAGCTCCTCACAACAGAGGAAACCAGTACGTAAGGACAGCATAGGAGCTAAATTAGTCAGTCGTATTCCGGGACTGTTTCGTTCCTATTACCTTACCCTAGAACCAGGGGTCGTAGGAAGACTAGGATAATCTCTTCTCGATAAGGCTGGGGGTTTGCTTGATGGTAGACTTGAGGTTTCTTAGTCCGAGAAGTTCAGCATTTAACTAGCAGGAAGCCTATATATAAACCTCGAAAACAGAGCTACAATCTTTCGGAAAATCGACAAACTAGTAGGCCGTAATCTGCCAATACTTGTCCTTTGATATACGCTCTGCTCAGTGATCTTCTAGTGGGACCCGAACAGTTGCGATCGGTCAATGAACGATAATGACGCAAGCTCTGCGAGCTCTCTAACCATTCATGGAAGACGTAGATACAACGAAAAATCAGATTACCTCTTTGCTCGCTCGTAAATGACGGCGATCTCGTCCGCTCAAGCGGACCTAAATAATCCCGGCTTTTGGACCCACGTGGCTTGCGGCAGGCATTGATAGCATGAGGGGGAAAAGCAGTAAAGGTTGAGTATTGTTCCAGGTCAAAGAAGCCATGTCCATGGTAGCGGCCGCGCCAGGTATGGACCCCCGCCCACAGTCAAACTCATAGCCAACCACCAGGATCCGGCAACAAGGACTGTAATGGATACGGGGAGAAGTCTTTCGATTCGTTCTTTTCCAGGATACGTGGTGGGGCCTCACCTGTGACGGAAACAGGACCCTGGTGGTCCAGCCGCCCGGGGCCAGTCCTAGTGAGACAGTTCGATTTTGTCTCGAATAACAGTCGTCTGATCAGTCCCTGCTAGCAAAAGAGTCCAGAAGGCCGTGGTGGTCCTTGATCGTCTCAACAGCGAGAATGAGGAACCAATCGGATAAACCGGCTCCTGGTCCTCGTAGGCAAGATTCCAATCAAGATTCTAGAGGTCACATGATACTGTTGTTCTTCGGTGGCTGAAGAATATATTCGTACTTGCCATCGGATGTCAGGAGCATTGTAGTCCACACGAAGCCAAAGCCAGGGCAGAGGGAAGCCTTTGTGTAGCGCTTTCAGGATGGAATCCGGCTAGCCTCTCTTCAGGTAAATCGAGATCATCGTGATTGACTAATAGTCAGATGAAATGTTTTCGTACCAGGTGTGCTGAGATCGTGTAGGTTAGCGTGCTGTCTCGTGATTCTTCGAGGAAGGATCCCAGTTGGCCAAAGGTGCTAACGGGCCAGACAAACACGGTTCTCGCATCTCGTCTGCTAGCTCGAAAGTACTATAACTAGTGATAAAAAGCAATACACGAATCAACCCTCAGGCAACAGATGATCGGTGAGGAGAATATCATTAGACAGTATTACGTTATACACGATGGATCCATGCGAATTTTGACCCTTGTGGATAATTACCATAGCAAGTCCTTGGCGTATGTAGCCATCGAGAGATTCCAGCGTAGTCACAGCAGTGTCGTTTGATGTTCTGAGATAGCCTGTATGCGTCGCCACGACACTCGCTGTAAGACAGCCTAACGGTCGTTCAGCTGGGCGCCAGATTCTGCTTAGCGTCCTCTTCGAAACAAGGCCTATCACAACATGAATCAGGAAGCCGGTGGGTCCGGAAATCCGGAGAGACGGCAAGACGAAGGCCAATGGCAATCGAAAGGTGCGCCCAGGTTGGGTGTCGAAGCCAAGAACTAGAAGAGGTCCTAGATGGTCAGAGACAGAAAGAGAGAGAAGGGGGGAAACACGGAAGACTAGAGCTCGTAGGTGCGCATCCCGAAACGAGAAGTATAGAACTCCAGAAGCAAGCCAGGAGAGTTATGTCCATGAAGGTACGTGAAACAGTGGCAAGGAAGTGGACGATGTATGCGAGCCCGGATGGGTCGTGAATCAAAGTTCTGCCGGTTTATAGCTGTTATTGAGTCACAGAACATGGGCATCAGGGGAAGCTTATTGGTACAGCTATACATTACTATGTACACTGGGCGTTGACAGCCTTCCTAGAAGTCATGACTTTTGGTGAGTAGATGCTGTATCGTTCTGCGTCAGTATGCATCATTCCTTGACGCCGGAGAGCACCATCCTAACATGGCGCCGGGGAAACAAGGCAAATAGCGGCAAACGAGGACACGTAAGGCTCCTGTTCAGGTCCTAAGGGTGTTGGTCGCTGGGGGGTATATGGTATGCAGGCAGACGCTGCAATGGTTCCTTATCCAAGAAACTGCCAGGAAAACCCGTTGAAGGGGCAGTCGCCATACCGAGAATGTCCTGGCTTAAGCATGTTGCAAATCGAAAGCTACAGCCTCTTGCAGTAAATTTCTATTTCCCGAGGATAAGAAGTAGACCTATCCCCTGGTAGGGCGGATCAATCAAACAAGGCGATACGGACCTAGAGGTGAAATGGCGTCTTCACCGGGGATTGCTTGCCTCTCGTCGTGGACTCAATTCTGAGAATGTTCCCTGGTGGTACGTCGAATCGAACGTCAGTTATGAAAAGTAGGGCCGAGATCAAAAGAAACAATCCCTGAGGACCAGGTATCCACATGCGGTCCTCATCCAGCTGGGGTATCCAAGTAGTTGGTGGTTGCCTTAAATGGAGGAGGCTATCTCTGCTGAAACTGCTCAGCCTGGCTGCTGTATATCTGCTCCTGCTCTTCCTGGGGGCAGCTGTAAACTTCACAGGCACCATGCAGGAGTAGCAAAGACGATCTGCGCACAAGAAGAAACCATGCCACCAATATCACCCAACTATAAATAACGAGAGAGAGCAGCCCGCCCCGGTAAAACAAGTGCGTGATTGCAAGTCAAGTGAGCTTCCAGTCTGATTTCGGGTCATCGCTGCTATTCATTGGAGTTAGATATGTTGCTGGGTGGCGCTCGAAGCAGACCAGGCCGAGATATTGGAACCGGGGTGATAGGTCCCATGAGCGATCGGTGGATTGTTGGGATTCATGTAAAAGTGTGATCGTTCATGGGCATAAACAGGGCCGGGGTTGGTTGCACCTGCTACGTTGGCTGCATGATCTGCGTCGCGAGTTTCATGCTTGAGGATAGGGGACTGTTGGATCGAACGGCGATGATCAGGGTTCGGTGGTGGCTGGCCAGTATTGCTTGGAAGACTGTAGTTGTTCCGATTGTACGAAGGTGTTCGCGATTCCAGAGCCACGGGACTTTGGGTAGGCATCGTTCGCGTCTGTGTGCTCGCTTGGGGGTACAGAGATAGGTGTTGGTTTGAATTTCGAACATGGAGATTGGATGTTATCGGTGAGGCAGAGGGTGGCCCTATGTTTGAGGCATGGGAATTCGATGTGAGATTGGTGTTCAGTGGCTCGTATGGTCGGCTGAACGCTGGCGGAGCATATTGTCCATAATCCTCGCCCCGATGCCCCATTTGAGCGGTCGACATTGGTGCCGGGATGTAGCTTCCTGCTATCGCCGTAGTTCCAGTAGGATATCCAGCGGTGGTAACGGGATGGTTTGCCCCGGGTGGATATATGCCCGGGTTGTAGAATGGCCCGGACGGCGGCATGTACCCTGAATGAGCGACCTGCGGAGCTCGATAGCCGTACGGCGCCGGTACAGCCATGCTTTGCTCCCTTATGCCTTCCATGTCTTCTGTCTCTTCCAAGGGCGATCTGAAACTTTGTTTAGTCGTCAACTCAGGTCTTGGTCGAACGTAGTTCAGGCTTTCTGTCTGGGAAGGCGTCCGAAGCTGACCGTTGATGACATCGCTCACACTGTAATACGAAACAAGATGATGTGTGACCCCTTGAACCGTTACACTCATGGTCTTCTTGACTAAACCATCGGATTTAAAGCCATATGAATCAACCAGCGATCCAATCAAGGACCGTTCCATCTCATTGGGAGCCCGCTCTGGAGAAAAAGTGGCCGAAGCTGGCGTGGTAGGGGAATAAGTGGCGCTGTTGTTGCTGTCGGGCCTAGGATAAGGCTCGCCTGGGCGGCTCGGTCTTGTACGACTGTTCTTCTTCATTGCTCGTTTCTTCTCACCGGGAGGAAATGGCTTGTCGAGCTCGCGGTAAACGAGGAAGTTGCCGAGGATACGGCTGGGACTCCAGGTAACTCCATCGGTCCATCTCTTGATCCCTGACGCGTTTTCTTCGTAGATGAAAACACACCCGCTGCGAATCAGCATGTTCCTTTCCCTGTCGTGGGGCCGCCGAGGAACATGAGAAAGCTGACCCGTCAGACAAGCTTCGAAGAGGATGAGTGCATCGTTGGTGGTCGCGACATGCCCCGTGAAGGTCGGCTGAAGAGCCGCTGGACCAGAAGACATTTGTTGCAAATGATGGTACTAGCTAGCTAGCAAGCAAGAAAGGAACGAGGACCTGGGAAAGTTTGGCGAGCAAGCACTTCGCCACCGGGAGGAACCTCAATAGGGTCCAAAGCAGAAATCAGTCCACGACCAGGCGCTCCACCGGTAAGTTTCGAACAAGGAAAGAAGCTCAACTTCAATCTGATAGATACCGAATTGATCAAAGCTTAAGAGTAAAATAGACCTGGGTTCAACACGATGGGAATCTGGATTCCGCCTTACGGCGTGCGGGTGACAGATGGTGACTAGGTACCGCTTGGTGAATGGAGCAGTCCGAAAATGGTTTACTGCAACTATGGCCTCCCGCAAACCGAAACTCTAAGTAACTGCTTTGGGGGGGGTAAGACTGAGTTTGGGATCGTCAAGAGATGTGCAAGGTTCGGAGCGATAGCGATTTGTTTAGGGGCACTACTGCCACTTCCCTCGAAGTTAATAGGGAATCGGAGTGAAGTTTGGGGTAAAGACACCAAAGCCGCCGAAAAAAGCTTCGTCACAGTTCAACCTTTCCCAACGTTCGTAGTCCAACCTTATTGAAGTGATGCAAGATTGGGACCTGCAGAAAAAAACGTCTTAGAGATGGAGGGTCCAGATCTTGCGACAATGTAGGTTGAACTTCGTATTTGAAATCGATGTTGCGAGCGAAGGTAGGAGATGACGGAGCTGCAATTCTTCTATGTATGTTCGATGGCCTGCATTAACAACTCGGCAATCCAGTCGGAAACAGCGGAGGAGACAGATGTCTCGAGAAAATGAGATGCAGGGGTGGTCTGATCATACACAGTCCAGACATGCGGAGATTTAACTGAAGCGATTACTAGGTCTATGACGGACAGAAATTCATAATAGTAGGGATGAGCAGGAGAAAGATGATGCAGCCGCAAACAATTAACAGAGGGGCTGATCGATAGTGGGTAATTCGTAAGAGGACCTTTGAAGGACAGCCTGTGAGCAGCTTGCAAGCTGCACAATCATCGGACCAGGGCCGGTCTACAGCTCGAGCGAGTAGTCGTCGAGGCTAAGGACTAGTGATGCCCAATGGACCAAAGTCAAAACAGGGCCTCTCTCTCGACAAGGAAATGGTCGGCTCTCGACGACGATGCTTGTCCCACTCAACTCTTTTGCTAGCTCCTTCTGGGCTCACACCCTGTCCGTTTGATGCTCAATCCACCCGACGCCACAAGCTTGCTGATCGTGAAGATTTGAGGACTGAAAAAGGTACGGAAATCTGCTCCTAGGTTGATGATGCACCTTGGCTGGTATCCACTGGGTTTTAAGTTCTGACACCGCCCGCGGCGCATACAAAGAGTGAGAGTGTTCATCAAGTCCAGCCGATGGCTCTCTAAGCGAGAAAGAATATACTGCAAGTCTGCGCGCTATTGCTGAGAGATGAGTCTGGCAGAGTGCTTTTAATGGGGGTGAAGTACTGTTGGACTGCCAGTTTGGTGACAGTGATGCCACAGTTAGAGCAGCAGCAGCAGCAGCAGCAACGGCGGCGGCGGTAGGAGCGACTCGTGTAGGCAAGTACCGCTTACTGGAGTTGGAAATTAGGATATGCTACTCGTGCTAGGAGAAGGCGGGTGAGAGGCTGGCTACCCAATTGAACAGACTTTGGGACAACTAGCATCTTAGAGATCCCCGAAAGGGGCCATGATAACAAGAGCCCATGCGGATGATAGATGCCCAGGACCCAGGAGGCACTTCTTGCAAGCGTAGGTCTGAAGCAGCAGGTCGAGTCAAGAGCGGCCCTTGGGGCCCATCTCAACGTCCAGAGACTTGGAAAAGGACGCGTCTTCTGGTTGTCAATCGCTCCGTTGCAAAGCGCGAAGGGTTTGACTGCAGGACCCCATGTCTAAAGCCTTCTGGCCGTGCCGGCAATTGCATCAAGAGGATCTGCCCCGACTGAGCGATGGAAGATGACAACTTGACAGCGCCCGTGAAGTTGTACAATAGTATGATGTGTGCCGCTGTCACCAGGTGCCAATACCAGCTAGTCGAGTGGATCAGCGCCTCTTCTACCACAGCCAATGACTGCTGCTCAAGGACAGTCCGAGATTCCGCAGGCAGCGGAGGACGACTCGGAATGGGTTTCAGGACGACCTCGCCGTGATCAAGCATTTGTCGGTCCCATACTTGGAGAGTTCTGGTTCTTCGTGCGGCATATCCGAAGGTAGGCTTGAGGGGCCGGTGGAAGTATGCAATAGCACGACGGCAGTAAGAGATGGGGGCATCGGCCCCTCGGGAGGTTTTGAGTTTTGGGCGTTCCTGGCGATTGTGGCTAGTTGACTACTCTACTTACGTCGACTAACTCCTGGGGAGTACGTAGCACGTCCATCTTCGGTGGGCCAAGCTGAGACCCAGATCCCCCCAACCCCAGGACCCTGCAGAACTTGGACACCAAAAAGAGCTGCGGCAGGAAGCTGCAAGCTGCTGCACGGACACTCAGTCACTTCATTGCCACTGGCTGGTTGATGGTCTCCTTGAGGCCTACATCGATGACTACGGAGGACTACGTGCGTACTATGTAGTACAAGAAGCATTACTACGTATTATATGTATTATACTAGGTACGGACTGATTGGTGGCAGGTGTCTTGATCCTTACCCCCCTTAAGTACCAAGTTATCTACAACACCCTCTGTCGCATGGTCTTCACTGCTCAGGTACTGATGAAATGCAGGTTTCTGGCTGGCTGACTGACTGACTGGCTGTCGTCCTACCATCGATCCGTTGCGCAGATTAACGCAGAAAACGGCGGTACCTTGCGCCTCAGGGTACAGCAGGCAATGCTGCACGTACCTTTTCCGACACCTGCACCATGCAGCTGACAATTCTCCGACCACCAGAGACATCACTGTGTCATGTTCCTGCACGGCCAACTTGGCATTGCCCTCCTACATCCAACACTACGTGCTGCTGCTGCGTAGCACGTAGCACAAGCCACTACTTGCCGCCCATGCTTTTCCCCACTTCCACCTTTCAACCATGGGCCGTGACCGAGTCCAGCCTGCCTCACACCCTCCCTCAGCACCGACATGCCTGGTTCCGCTCACCTCGCAGCCATTCCCAACCGAATCGGGGAACAGAGGCGTTGAGACTTGTGGGTGCAGGAACAATACAATAGATGTGATCTTCATGCACAACCGTGGGGGCCATTGTCTCATGGCTTGCATGCAGCGGCTCTCGCCGACTCACCTCTCCCGTTGCGGTGTCATCTCCCAACCAGTCCCTCTGCAGGCCAAAAGAGTCGCGCCCTCACGGCTCGCTTCGGTAGTGTGCTCGATGAGCGGTGACAGAGGAAATAGCTCTAATTGCCACCTACCTGCTATCTCAGCAAGTTGATCCGGTAAGCGATGCTGCTGCAATTGTGAATGGTCTGACGGGCGGCCTTGTTCTCTATGCACCTTACCAGCCGTCCTTGGATCATTTTGGTACTCGTCCCCAGGTGATCTGCTCAAAACCAATACGTGATTGGTAACGGATGAGACATACAGATGGCAGATAGACCAGCTCTATTGATTTAGGCACTATTGCTAGTAATCATCCACTCCAAGAACTGAATTACTAAGCGTGGCTGGCGGATGGCGATTGTCCATGGCCCACCCACCCTGATCGAGTAGAGAATACCTGAAACAGCAACCACATTTTGAATGGTTCAGATTTGGGCGCACAGCACGAACCAGTCAATCATGTCATTTCTGATTTACTGAAGATCTTCAGCCAGCTCTAGCTAAGGCTGACTACTGCCCTTGGAATTCAAGTATCACTGGATCTGAATACTACTTTTGCACTCGAGAGTGTCAGTAAGCAAAGTGAAACGGAACCGCCCCCGCAAGCCACTTGCGGATCTGTACTTGATTCTCGATGATGACATGCTTTAAAGCCGAAAGAATGGCTGCTACTAGACCATCCTCTCGATCGAGGATTGTCCACCTTGCAGATCCCCGCTAATACTTTCGTGAATACTCCGTACCTCGTTCAGCAAAGAAATCATTACGATATTTTGGGAGATGTCTTGACTTAGCCAGCGGATAGGGGATGGCCGCAGCATTGATGACCTGCCTAGCTGAAATTGTTTTTTTGTTCTTCCAACTTCCTGCTGGGCATATTTGTATCCCTGCTCCTCAATATGCAGCGATCATAGACTTTGGCGGTCGAGTCGAAGGTTTGACGGCTCTGATGGCAAAATCATTTCAATGGTCCCCTTTGTTTGGGGGTATCACGAATCTTAAACCGCTGACTATGGTCGAGGTTGGGCTCATGTATGCATGAAATTTCGGCACCAGTACAGAGAGCGAATGATGTTGGTGGAGAGGCGCCTGGGAACGAGCTCAATCAGGCACAGCGTGGTGGCGGTAGCGCTGACAAGGTAGGTTACGTTGACTGAAAGCTCGGATACGTATCAAGTGATGGCATGGGTGCTTTGCTAATATTCGTCAACCTTCATGCAGTTCATGAGCCATTCAAAGATTAAGAGCAATCAGGTTCAAGCTACAGGCACCTGCAGTACCAACCATTCTCCGCGGAACATATGTTTCAAAAGGATTCGTAGACTCTGCTTTTATCCTAGCAATATCCAAGCAGGTCAACAGCGGGATGATTGACAGCAGCTAGAGGCAAATGAACAGTCTCCCACTTGGAGCAAGTCTTCCATGGGGCAGCGTGCTGCTCATATGCCTGCACCCTGATCGACCGATCTTGACGACAATGCTCATTGTTCTGAAGAGAACCAAGGCTTTTTGGTTCCCTGATATGTCTCGCCTGGGATTTTCATTGGGATCGGTACAACATTCTTGAATATGTTGAGGCCATTTGAATCTTGCCTATCCGTCAGCGATTTCGCTTGATCGGCCTTGCTTTCAAGAATTGGAAGGATCACGCCACATTCCCAGTTGCGGCAGCTCAGCTTTGGTGTCTTGGTCGTCCTGTCTTGAACGAGTCTTCCCCTGTGTGGCAACGAGCATCAGTACCTGGCACGTTCTAATAGAAACGAGAACGCTGCAACTTACCATGCACTTTCTGAGAGGTTTGCACTCCCAACATAAGCCCAGCCGATGGTTCGGAGACCATTATTCATGGTCACTGGTTTTACGTATCGTGTGAACCAGATCTGCATTGAACACCATAAGTCACGACCAGCAACAGAGCTTGCTAACTGACCTTGTTGTGCATCAGCAGACCCTCTCGTTGACTTTGACAATCTCTCATGAGATCACGAGGAAATTTTGGGCCATTCCACCAGCGAGGCTGGAAGCATATCGTACCGCCGTTTCGAGGTCCGCCTTTGGAGTCTCTGACGGTGTCATCGGAAGGGTAGTAGAAGCGAAAATTCTGCTTCCATCTGGACGGAAAGTCCCGTCCCAACCGGCGTTGAAGGTCTTGCGAGACACTCGAGGGTACCGACTTTGCATTCCGATGAGTATACTCTGCGAGGCCACTGTCACCCTGAGCGACAAGATATAGCGACCGCAGAAACTGATCATCGAGACTCCCCACTGAGGAGGTGACGAAGTCTATCTCGACGGAATCGAAAGTGCGAAGGCCCAAGTTGTTGAGATATTGACCTATTCCACAGGCTCCTGTTTCTCTCCAAGCGTCGCCGTAATGAGTCCCACCTATTGAGTGTATGAAGCCGTGGTTGCCCAGCTTCGAGAAATCATACATCTTCAGCTTGTTCACGATATCTTCCTGCAGTTTCATCGCTTTCAAAAATAACACCAAGCTTTTCAAGAATGTCACTTCAGCATCCTGCCTCTCACCTGACTTACTGTCGGATTTTGGCAGGTCGATCAAGAAAACAGTGTTTTCCATTATGCCTCCTGGCAGGTCGCGGAAGGGCTCGCCCCAATCGTAGGGTGTCAGGTTTGCGGTAGGAACAACAATTCGCAGGTGGGTGGGATAGAAGAGCAACATGAGCTTGGAATGCATGCAGTTGATCTGTCCCTCCATGGATGGAAAGCAGAGGCGGACATTCCACATTCTGCTGAAGGTTGAAATATAACCCTTCTTTGCTTCTTCATCCTTGGCCTGGACGATAAATACCAACTTTGTCTTCCCGGTATCCAATTTTGTCACTAGCCAGTCCCAGTCCCATTGAAATGAGCTAAGGACTGCTGCCTCGAGCTGAGGACTTTGCAGCACTTCTGCGAGCTTGATGTCGTTGTGTCTCTCGAACCCAAATGCCCATGTCTTCCTGACCGTTCCTTCGGGATATTCTAGCTTTGACGTATTTGAAGAAGGCGGTATGGCAGAAGCCTCTTCCCTATCCAGTTCTGTTGGTGTTGCTTTCAACAAACCCCCATGGTGCGCACTGGCCGTCTCCAGATCGCTGCCGTGTCTGAGGCCTCGCTTGGTTGCCGGTGGTGATACGCTGCGCTCCCTCTTCCTCTTGAGCCGCGCAAGGCGTTCCTCCTCTTGTCGCTTCCGGTCCATGCCCAGTATCCCTCCACCTGCCCCAGAGGACTCTGCACGAGCTTCGAGTGTAGCGCTGTCATCTCCTTTTGTTGTAGATACAATAGAATCTCGTGGCAGATATGTGGGCGTCGGCTGTAGAGACATTGCAATGGCCCGGTGAAGGTCATCATCTTCCGAGGTAGCTGAAAGCGTGACGTCGGAGTCGTCACCTGTGAGATCTATTGTCTCCTTTGGATCGCTGGCCATCTTAATAGGAAGCAGCTGTAAACGATACAGATGTTGTTGCTTCCAATAGTATCCAAAAACTGTTGTCCAGAGGGGTTCGAGTGCAAAGTTTAAACAGAAATAGTTTGTGGTTCTCAGTATAGCATCAGTTTGAAGTGATGATTACCTGAGTCTGGAGCTTCAAGAATGCCTGATTCGGCTAGCCCAACCACGCCATAAAGTGTTCAGGAGCCAGGCTGCCAGTGGGAAGGACAACGCGACTATCGATAGCACCTTTACATGTTGGCAACTACTCTATACTTTGTTTCCTACCGCAACCTGAAGGCAGCAATTTGAAGGAGGCATATAGCACCGACAGCTTGCAGTCAAATTCAAGTGGAACGTTGTTGCATCTTGGCTTAGTAATGATGGCTGGGATTGACGCTTGGCTGTGCACGTGCCGTCTCTGTACCCGGTTCCTAAATCTTTACTTGGCGGACTTTGAATCTGGACATTACTGACGATTCAAACACAACCAGCCCTGAAGGTGACACCTTTCACGGTACCTAGACTTCGCACGGACCTTCGGACTCTAACTGCCTCGGACGGATTGCTGCGCCGTATTTAGATTGGACGACTTTGCATCGGATTTTCTCCCCAACTACCTGCTCCAGTAGCATGGTGTCACTTCTTGTCCTCTTACAAGCAAGAAGCAGCCAAATGATGTTGAAGACTTCTACTGCTGCGGTGGCATCAGTCATATGGAGTAATACACATACACGTCCATCTCCAGCTGCGATGTGCTCTCCTTCTGGCTATTTATCTGCTTCTTTGGCCTTACCTCAACTGGACTAATTTCTGCAGCATTGTTACTTCTTCGCCCCAATTTCTGGTTACCTGGCAGGCACCGCTGAGCGGTACAATACCCTGCCCATTAAGTACTTGTTCCATATTTACTGGCTGCGGTCCGTGGGACTTACACAAGCAGTGTCCCTGCCAGCTACATCTGCTTTGATTTTCTTGACCTGTTGTCCGTCACTCACCACTCAGACGGGATTAGCATGACCCTTTCTGTGTACCATTTTCATACACGTCACCCATACTTCTTATCAATGGTATGTTACTCGATGCTCCCTTTTCCTACTGCATGGACAGTTGCATGATCCTAATCTGTGAGATGGAACGAATTTCGCAAGATCCAAAGCCGCTGCATCATTTGTTTCCTGGAAAGGACTGCATTTATCATAATGATCCAAATTAAGCACAGGCAGACTTCAGTTTATAGCGCTATCATCAACAAAGTATGACATAACACTGGCATTATTCTCACAGATTCGTCCAGCAATGTGGCTGTATTCTATTGGGTGCACCGTATTACGTCCAGTCTCTGCAAGGATACTAGGTGTGATCCATCCACAGGAGATTCTTCGGCTAGCCCGAATACTCGAACGCCGTCTAGCTTGATGCGCATATGAAGCAACACTCGTTGACTGCCTTGCCTCGGAGCCCTAGAATTGAATTGAGAGCCATGAAGCCAGGGATTGCAAGCAGCAGCAGTTCTCAGCCGGCATCACTTCGTTGATGCCTTTCATTCGCGTTCAAAAACACGTCGGAAACGCACTCGGAATCCCACCACGTCCCCACTTCCATGTCCTTGCACTACTCAAGACCTCGCAAAACATGGTGCTGCTTTTGCTCGACCGTCACCGATTTCAAGAGGCAGTTACAACCCAACAGACATGGATGCAGAACTAAACAACCATTTTGAATATAACTAGCGATAAAAGCGTGCAGGAGCTGCTCTTGGGGTAGTTAGTGTACGTCTGCTGCAGCTACGATGAGAGTGGCTTTGACCCTAGCAGTAGGAAATTCTATCTCTTCGATCTACCTTTCAACGCATCTTACTTAGACTCAATAATACTACAGCGCAGTTCGTCAAATATATGGTCCATGTTAGGGACTTCTTTTGTCCAAGGTTTATCGCCTACAGTGTATTTCGATGCAATCGGAAAATTCGAATTGGGTGATTACGGTCTACGCGACCCACTCTGCCACCACAATCTGTACTTGGAGGGCACGAGAGATGAAATCGGTTGTTGCATCCTAACATAGACTCAGATCGGAAACGCTGCTCAGCAAGTTCGTGAGATCGTATCACAAGAGCTTCAGATGAAGCCATGGTTTTGACGAAGAGCAGCGGTGGCCAAAGATGTTCCCAAAAACTGCCTCATCAATGCATGTCTTGCGTGCTGTGCGCTACTATTGAGTCAACATGTCAGCAATCTCGGCTCTGGCTCTGCGTGCCATGAATCAAGTAAATAGATCCGAGGGTCCGATCCACAGACCGCCTGCTTAGGCATCAGGGTTCTTGTCAACGGTAGCCAGACTTGCCAAAAACAAGGATGGCCGAGGAGCTCAACACCAAAATAAATACCCTCGTTCGTCTTGTGATAAACACTAGACTGATATGATTTCGTTCATTCACCGGTCCATGGACAGACTCGCCCGGAAAAAGCTTTGTCAACTGTCGACATTCATCTGCTGGTACTCAAGGAGCATGGCATGGATGGGCGCCGAGGGGATATCTTTGAAGGCAGGAAAGGATACCATAAGAACATCCGGAAGGGGGAACAAAACGGTGTCAGCCAGATGCAATCCGTCCCCATTCTCCGCCTGGTCTCACACACTCTGGTTCTGATACTACAGTGCTGGGATTGCGCCACAGTCAGATACCCTCACCCCCCCTTCAACGCATAAGTACAGAGATATCATATATTTTGTCAGGACGGAACAGGAACAATGGAAACGGGGTACGCCTGCTGCATCCTAAAGAGTGCAGAGATGCTGGACTTGATGCATCACACACAGATAAAGAGAATGACTTGATCTGGGGAGCCTGGCGTTGGTCAAAAGGCGCTTGGTACCATGTGTACTCTGTAAGTACCACCACTAATCACCCTGACTCGCCGCCATATCTGTTGGGCTTTGCGGACGCAAGAGTGGCCACCGTGGATCGAGATGTTGCTGCCACGAAGGATTATTGCCATAGAACCGGCCAGCCTGTGGGAAAATCACACAGATAGTAGATCTCCAAGGGCCATGGGAGTAGTAGTAGCAATGTGGCTGATTTTACGGGTTCCGTCGATGCTTGAGCGTCTTGTCAGCTCGATTCGAGCCGTGACTAGATCTACGTGCCGTACCACCACCGCATGGAGATACTACTAGTAGCTAGAAGGAGGTATACATAGAATTTCTCACTGACCTCGTGTTCGATGACCGCTTTATACGTACACAAGTCTCTTGGACACCAGGGTCCTTGGAAAGATTGTATGCCCATTGTGTACTTAGAACTGGGCCGTCTTTGCACACCCATGAAACACCTTCCCTTATCTTTACGGGTAATCTCGATATTCCCGTCCCTTTCATGGCACGTTTGATATTCATAAGACACGACTTCGATGCTGTGTTCTCACATCCGCGTGTCCAGGCAGTAATGATGGCAGACATTGCGTTCCAACTGAAGTCCTTCCTAGAGTAGCGCATCAGTCTGGTGGTGCGCCATTCACACCATCAGGCGGCAGCGCCTCAGCTGAGCCGTGGGCGCGGAGTCGTGGATCCTTGTCCTTGAAAAGCCGACCATTCAGGTGTACCGCATCATGCGTGCTGCCCAAAGCCTTTCCTTTGTCGAGCATTGGCTGGCGCGAATCCACCGCAATACAGTCCGCAGCAGCACCTTCACCATTCTCGAGGCCCGGGCGCTGTTGCTGCTTCGACTGCTCAAAACCCTTCTTGTAGCGGAGCTGCACAACCAAGCTATCTTGCTCAGGCGGCGGCGCGTCATTCATCTCTAGATCATGTGCACTCATTTCGTCGTCATCGTCATCTTCGTCTTCGTCGACTCCTTCCGCCTCGAACTCTTCAGCGTCGGGTTCTTCCTCGTTGCCGCTCCACTCATTATCGCTGGCTTCTTCTCCGTCAGACTTCATGTTCATTTCCTCTTCCGAGGAGTCGTCAATCCTCCTCGGGGCTCGGGTTTTCCTGCTCGGTCGGGTCGATCTTTGTGGTCGGTCAGTCAGCTCGCCCAGCTCGCCGTCGTTGAAGCCATCTGCATCTCCTGCTGCCGATCTCTCAATTTCCAGCTCTTTTCGCTGATCCACCAGCATGGTCTCGCCATACATACTGCCACCGAGCCTGGATTTGACCTGCCGGCCACTGGCCGTGACTGTTGGTCCTGCAGGCTCGGCTGGCGTAGAGACACCGGAATTGCGGGTAGATCTTCTAGATGGGAAGTCGTCCGAGTCTTCTTCGTCGTCTGAGAAGGTGTAGCGCATCTTCTTGCCCCTGGTGCGGCCTTCGTAGAGGGAAAAGCCGGGTAGTGGTCGAGTGAAGGCGGCTTTCCTAGCCAAACGATAATCGCGTCTTCTACGTTTCTGTGTTCGCTGTCAGCCGATGTCTTGCTGCACATGCGATGATCACCTCACCTCTTCACCAGTCTCAAACCTTGGTATGGCGGCTCTGATCCTGTCCCTTAGAGTTCTAGCGTGTGGTGTGCCATCCTCATCTAGCTTGTTTGCAACAATGTTGACCTCTTCAATGCTACCTGCCACGCTAAACCATTGATTTGTTTTTGGAGTAATGCCATTATTTTCTCTGTAGAGCCTGAAATGTGTATCGTCTTGCCCTTCGATGAGCCAGTACCTCCTCTTATAGCCATCGCGCCCCCATGGTTGGATCGAAAGGGGTTGGTTCTTATCGTCCTCATGGCGGGTTTGCTTGTAGGATTCTTTGATGAGGCTTTGGACGGCTTCGGAAGAGGACAGGGCCCAGAGGATCAGGGTTTTGAGGAGAGTGAGCTATTGATAATGCCTATCAGCATACTGATCTCAGCATACCTGAGGCAAACCCAGATTTACCCGTTCAGCTGGTGTCATGCTGGTGAATGTGCCCCCACCGTGGGTAGGGTTCTTTGCCTTCCATGCAGGAGGCCATTGCGATTGATGGGTTTGAATGGCTTCTTCGAGCGCACGTTGAAAGTGACCGCGTCTGAAGCACCCAGACGTGTCAGCTTATGCTTCGTAGTTCGATGTACACTGTGAAAGAGATCATGCGGGTCTAGAGGAGATCGTGGCCATACTCAATGTCCTTTTTTCTGTTCAGCACCAAACCTAGCAATGCGCAGAGCAGCTTCTCAATGTAGTCGCCGGGTACCGTCTCAGCGACGCCTCTCTCAATGTCTTGTGGCCCGTAGTGGGGTAGTGATTTTGGAAAGACATTGTGGAACCGCGAACGGAACATGACAATAAACTGGACCACACAATTAGTAAGATGCAATACTCACGGAATGAAAATCGGGTAGCCTACGGCAATGTCTGCATTGTCTGCAAGTACATATTCATGAGGCGGCGAAGCTGGCCGCTTAGGTGGTGGAGGTGACGAAGGGACTTTTGGTGTACCTTTTGGCGCGGGTTTGAAATATCGATCTAAACCAGAAGGCTTCGTAGAATTTTGCACGAGTGCTTCATCATCTGTGGTTGGAGGGGACGACAGCTCAGAACTATCGCTAATAGACATATCCGCGTTGTGAAGCGCAGTCAAAGTGGCGCGGCTACGTGCAAGTATGAATTTATGAAAGTGGTGTCTGCAAAAGCGTTGGATTTTGAGAATGCGGGAAGCTCTAACAAGCGCGAGAGCCTCGCGTATAGCTCGCCTGGAAACACCATTGAACTAGCTCATCTGTCTGTCAGTGCTCCCACCCGCAGAAGCACTGTAATTGCTGTTTTCAAGCTGCCGAGGACTCTGCTCTTCACCCTCCAAGCATTTTGCAGCACCTAGCTCAACAATTTTGCTCCAAGACGAGATAACCGAAAGAAAATGAAGGTGAGACGGGGATAGTCACACAACAGCCACCGCAGGGATGCCAAATTCTTCCATTGCTCTGATGATTCATATTTCCTCAAAACGCGCTGCTCATAAAGCTCGATCACAGTTGTGCGAAATATCATTCAGGTATGGTTCATCATTGACATTAATCCAGGACACGGTTTCCGAAATGATGCTGTGTTGTTGACCACTTCTACTAGGATCTTGGTTGCAACGGTTCCGGGCGTCGGTTGTTGCGACCGCGCTACTTCCCTATCTCAAAGTTGGTTCAGCTGCAAGCCTGGAATTTACGCGTAGGAAGATAACCATCGCCAGAGTCTTTGACACACCTTTGCTTTCCTTGTTGTTGGTTTCAAGGCTGGCCTTGTAATTGCTGCTTCACCAGAGACTGGGAGCTGCTCTTTGGATGTCATACTTTGCACACGTCAAGTACCACTTCATTAAGCCAGACGGAGCGCCGCTGCAACACGCACCACCACACGGTAATGCATGCCATTCGCCCGAAGGATGGCCTGAATTGATTGCAGTAGGGGCGGGTCCCTTGTGGATGGAGCAGCGGCAAACTCCAGGCTAGGATTGGAATACGGAGCTGCAAAGGGAGAAGAGGAAACAGCGCAAACACAGGCTGCAAGTGGTCTTCGAAATAAAAAAAAGGAGCAACTTAAAAAACATTTTCAGCGGAGAGAAGTTTGTCATGAGTATGAGAATAGCTTGCAAAACAAGACAAGCCAAGCCCATGCCAGAAGAGTCTTTACGAGCCGTAATGAAGAATTCAACAATCCATCGACGCCAGACGCACTGCACGGGAAAAAAGACTTGACTTAACAAGAATTGAACATTTTGAATTGTTATCAAGGAGATGATACTTATATTCATGCTAGGGAGCAACAGAGCATCAACGAGGGTAGTTTAAGTCAGTAGAAGCATCTGCATCCAAATTCAGATGTCAAGGACTGTTCAGAATGCACAGATTGCAATCCCGTGATGGATTGATAGGAGTTGTGGTATTGTCAAACACTCAAGGGGTGAAGGATTGGAAGTTGGTCGTTGAAGTTGAGCAGAGCCGACTAAACCAATTTGAGCCTAGGTGAAATTGTACCACACACTCTTGAATCCCCACAGAATATTACAAAATTGACTGCGAATATCAACCAGCGTCGTTTGCACGGTAAGGTCTATCCTAGACAGTTCTAAGAAGCAGAAATACTGACTGCTCATCAGGTGGTACGAAATGGGTCGTGTCATTCGTAATCAGAGGAAGGGTCGTGGCTCAATCTTCAGTAATGGCCTCATCTTGAACCCTCAGGTTTGATCATACTAACCGTCTATTCCAGCTGCCCACACCCGTCTCAACAAAGCGCCAGCCAAGCTTAGAACACTCGATTACGCTGAAAGACATGGTTATGTTCGAGGTGTTGTCAAAGAGATAGTCCATGATCCGGGTCGAGGGGCGCCGCTTGCCAAAGTCGTCTTCCGCAACCCTTACCGATTTCAACTTCGCACCGAGACCTTCATCGCAAATGAGGGTATGTACACTGGACAGTTCATCTACGCTGGCAAGAACGCTACATTGACAGTTGGAAATGTCCTTCCTGTGGGGGCTGTGCCTGAAGGGACTGTCATGACAAACATGGAGGAGAAGACGGGTGATAGAGGCACACTTGGTCGAACCTCAGGCAACTACGTCACAGTCATTGGCCATAACCCGGATGAAGGCAAGACGAGAGTCAAGCTTCCAAGTGGCGCAAAGAAGGTTGTTCCCAGCGGTTCTCGAGGAATGATCGGAATCGTTGCAGGTGGTGGCAGAACCGACAAGCCTATGCTGAGTACGTGACATGTCATCTCGAAATAGGAAATGGTTTCTAATCTGTTCATCAGAGGCATCTCGTGCGAAGCATAAGTTCGCGGTCAAGCGGAACTCCTGGCCCAAGACTCGTGGTGTTGCTATGAATCCAGTTGACCATGTAAGAAGGCATATCCACCTCTCTGGATCAGCTTCGCTAATATGAATTGTAGCCTCACGGTGGTGGTAACCATCAACATATCGGCAAAGCGTCAACAATCTCTCGATATGCGGCGCAAGGTCAAAAAGCTGGTCTCATTGCTGCTCGGAGAACTGGTTTGCTAAGAGGAACGCAAAAGACGAAAGATTAAATTCCGAGACTGGGACGTGGAGGTAGAAGGGAGTTTGCCTGATGGATTGTTCTACTTTGCATTTGATGATGGTGAGGATGTCATCATGAAAAGACCTAAACAGCATCAAATAACGTTCCGAATGACTGTAGCTCAATCGAACAGCTTGCTACATCCTCCTTCCACCTAGAATCTCCAGCACTTGTCCTTGAAGAATCGTACTGATGACCGCAACTCCTCACTCCCTAATCGCTTTGGACCTGTAGTATGGAAGCTCAAACAGGAAATCGTTTCCGTAACTAAGTTGGGCCTCGAAAACAGGTTCATCCCCCCCGGAATCTTAGAGCAAAGTTGGGTTGACAATGCAATGGATACCTCCAGATTGTTATTCTGGCAAAGATGTGAGTAGGCCACTGCATCGACCTGATGACGAAAGGTCTGGCACGATCAAGAAGACACGAGCTGGATCTCAGGCCTCGGGCACCATGGCGCAAACAATGTCACTGTCTTTCCCAAATTTGGTGCCAGGCACAGTGGAGAAGCAGAACCAGCGAGCTGGGAGCCTACTAGGTTTACCAGCATCTTCAGACACTTTTCAAACGTGCAACAAGCGCTTAGAGGGTTGTAGAATCTGCGCCTGAGCCGTCAGACGTTGTACTGCCGGCATGAAATACGATACTAGGCGATCTGTATGGTCTTGAGTGTGCGCCACTTCAAACATCTGATGTCTGGGAAAAGAAGAAGTTTCAGGTTCCTGTAGGTGGTGGCCGGTGAAGGTTTCCCCACTGGTTGATGGCTGGGAATGGTGTGTGGAAACTTTGCAAGCGCCTGCCATTCCATTGCATGGCGGCAGGCACGGGGTGACACAAGCCAGGGTGACACAAGCCAGGGTAACACGCCCATTGTAGGCTCGAACGCCACATCGACCCACCTACATCAGGAATGATTCAATCTTGATTCCAGTTGATAAGACCTGCTGAATATACTGCACTACACGCTCGTTCTCGCAGTCTACCAGAAGCGTCCACAGCTCTATCATTTGATCGCACCTCTCTTCTACTCACATCTTCTGGGACAATCTAGTCTATGAAAAGCCTTACTTCTAATTGATGGTGGAATCTTTGGTGGAATTCTTACCGTCTCCTTCACGTCTGGACAGTTACCTTACCAAAACATTCAAACCAAGCCGCCGTGTCAGCCAATATGAACGTCAACAAGAAGCTGGGCCGCTTCAAGCAATGGGCGGGAGAGCGAATGGGCGGAGAGGTGAAGACCAATGTTTCTGACGACTTCAAGACCTTGGAGGTTGAAATGGGACTGAGACATGAAGGTATAATCGTCTGGAAATCTGTCGCGCTGTTCTTACTCAGCCAATTCCAGGCATGGAGAAACTGCACAAATCGATGAATCTATACGTCAAAGCCATCTCGAAGCGGAACGAGACCGAAGACAAGGAAAAGAGTCTGCCGGTGGGCTACCTTGGGAGGGTTATGATCAACCATGGGGACGATTTTGAGAACGACTCTGAATTCGGTCAATGTCTCATTGGTGCGTCCTCTACACTATGTACCGAGTACAGCTAACTGGTTGCAGCTTTTGGCCGCACACAGGAGAAGGTTGCTCGAATCCAGGAGACCTATGTTGTGAGCGCGACCTCAACATGGTTAGAATCCCTGGAGAGATCCTTGGCTCAGATGAAAGAGTACCAGACTGCTAGGAAGAAGCTCGACACCCGCAGATTGGCCTATGATACATCACTTACGAAGCTCGAGAGACAAAAGAAAGAGGACTTTCGTGTTGAAGAGGAGCTACGCAATGCTAGGGCGAAGTTCGATGAGACGAGTGATGATGTCTACCGGCGTATGCAAGACATCAAGGATGCAGAAGCAGAAAGTGTGATAGATTTGGAAGCGTTTCTTGAAGCCGAGCTAAGCTACCATGAAAAATGTCGGGAGGCGTTGCTCCAATTGAAGGGTGAATGGCCAGCGGCGTAAGTGGGGCGTCGACAAAGGTAGATGATAACTGACAAGGACACAGGAAGCAGCGGCCTCAAGCACGAAGCTCTCGGCCACAACAACGCTCCAGGACTAATACTGGTAACTCCAACCCATATGCGCAGAGATATGTGCTATCTGAGGATCCGTCGCCGCCCTCATCCCCAGAGCCCGAGCAAAGACCCAGCATCAAATCAACCCGTGCTGTGTCATCTCGGATAGCGCCAGAGTCAGCTGCAAAGGATCTTCCATCTGCCTCGAATTCTAGACCACCGATTAGCAGATCGGCCACTTTCCAAGGACCTACCCAGATCAGAAGAGATGTTTCTCCTGCTGCGAATATGCCAAACCTAGCTCGAATTCCAAGTGATTCACTTACCGTTCGGACACAACGATCCCAGTTGCGCAATGTCAACAACGCCGTGGCAGAATGCGATGTGTTCGACGACCAGGCAGATTCGCCGTTCAGCAATAGTAGTGCTGACCGGTCTTATGGAGATGCCTCGGTCTCTCCTGCAACATCACACGGCAGCATAGCCGGAGCGCGAATCAAAGGACCACCCCCACCACCTCCATCCCGGGCTAAGAAGCCTCCTCCACCACCACCACCTCCTCCAGCGAAGAGAAGCCTGTTGACGTGATTTTGCAAATCACGTATAAGAAACGGTGCTATGTTTTGCCTGAGCATAGATTTCAAGGAAGGGACATCAGAGCTGTGGCATTCCAAGGCATACGTGGAGAGACTGCTCTGTCACACTGCAACCTGGATGTCGGATGTCTCTTTGGGGCATGGTTGGTTTGCAACAAAAACACGAGGGTTAGGAGTGCCTCTGGCCGGTATGTAGAGTACCGAAATCAAATATACGACTTAAGACATGCTATTAAAGTCATGACTATTCCTAGGTTGTATTCCGCCCTTAGTTCTTCTGGTTCGCCAGAGTACTGTTTCCATGCACGTCTCATCCGGGTTCATTTCTAATTCGTATTCTAAGCTGTATTTGGATTTGGGATATAAAATAGAAAACTTGCTGTATAGAAACGATGATGTGAGGCGTCCTCAAGGCAGGGCTTGTGGCATCGATTACTACTACGTACGTAGTACGTATTGTGGTTGTGTGGGCTAGTCCAAAGCGAGTCTAGCCGAAAACTATCTTGTAGTCCTTCTGCAGCCGCGCTGTGTTTCAGTGTTTCGACCAACTCCCTACACTTGATACCAAGCAACCTGCAAATCCGCAAACCCGCAACCCCTCCTACACGACCATCTCCATCTCCATCGCGCTGAAGTCATCCCCAATTCACCTTTTCCTTGCCGCGGGTAACCACCAATATTCCTCTGCAACATCTCTAGCCTGTCTAGGTCTTCACTTCGCCCCTCATTTGCAAATATTCAGCTACTCAGGCAACCAGGCAGGTGAGTCGAGATCACACCAAATTTCCCTTCTCTTCTCTTCCCTTCCCTTTCCTTCGCCCTCGAACTCTGCCCAATGCGCACAGCTCCACAGAGCCACTACCCTGGTGCTGACATTTGATTCACACCAGATCATTGACCACCTTCGTTGTCTTTCCAAAACATCCCGCCTTCTGGCCCCTTCACGCTCCGCGCGCCTGGACTAAGCAACAACCGATGGCACCTTGAACTCCGCAATATGGCAGCGGTCCAATCTGCGCCAGCCATGCAGGCTGGTGCACATTCACTACCCGCAAACATTACGCAGAAACAAGTACAGGAGGTCTATGCGGTTAGTCACCTAGCACTCCTGTCCACATTTTCCATCCCCTTTCGACATTCAGACGGGCTCGTCAACACTCTGCTTTTACTAACGACTAGTATCTACTTCAGAACTTCAAGCGCATGCAGTCACAAAACGTCTCCACAGCTGATCCAGAATACATTAAAGCGCATCAATTTCTATCTGCGGTCCAACAAAGTCAAATGTTCCGCAAGATGACGCAGCAGAAAGCGCAAAATGCAGGAGTGAATGCCCCAAACACGAATGGAACCAATGGATCGACACCGCAGGATGGCGGCTCTATTCCTACGGCTAATTCACCTGCAACGGCGAACGGTAGCAATAGTCAAGCACCCAATGGCAACGCTGCTCGAATGCCCCCTCCTAGTGGAAGCTTTTCTGCCGAGCAGTTGGCAATATTACGGAACCAAATACAAGCATTCAAACTTTTGTCCAAGAATCTGGCGATTCCATTAAAGGTTCAACAGCAGCTGTTCCCTACCCCCAAGAAGCAAGAGTCTGCTCACCCAGAAAATCAAGCACAAGACTCTAGGGGAGGAGAGAAAACTGCGGAAAAGGAGTCGGCTGCAGATACACCAGCGTTAGGCAAAACCTCTTTCAGCACATTCGAATCACCGTACACTTCAGTTCCGACGACGATCAGCTTCGCGGAGCATTCCCAGCGCGCAAAGCGGCTGCGGATACCGAGTCTGATGCCCATCGGTGTTGATATCGATCAGATTAGGGAAGAGCGGGAGAGAATACTTTACAACCGAGTCCAGACTCGTCGAGCGGAGTTGGCTGCTCTTCCTGCAAACATAGGATCGTGGGATACAAACAAGAGTGATAAACCTGACGGAGATGACAAGCTGAAGCTGAAGGCCCTAATCGAATTCAAGAAGCTGTCATTATTGCAGAAACAGAGGGACTTTCGTCGAGACATTCAGCAGGATCTGTTCACCTACAACAATCTGGCAATGACAGCGAACCGCGCTCAACATCGTCGTATGAAGAAGCAGTCACTTCGGGAAGCGCGCATCACCGACAAATTGGAGAAGCAGCAAAGGGATGCTCGGGAAACCAAGGAAAAGAAAAAGCAGTCCGACTATTTTGCGTCAATTCTTCAACATGGCAACGATGTCCGAGCCAATGCAAGTGCTCAGCGTGGGCGTGTGCAGAAACTTGGACGGATGATGGTTTCGCATCATCAACATATGGAAAGAGAAGAGCAGAAACGCATCGAGAGGACGGCTAAGCAGCGTTTGCAAGCTCTAAAGGCCAACGATGAAGAGACGTACATGAAACTGCTTGACCAAGCCAAAGACTCTCGTATCTCCCACCTTCTGAAGCAGACTGACGGCTTCTTGGGCCAGCTTGCGGCGTCGGTACGACAGCAGCAACGGACAGCTGCCGAACGGTATCGTGACGACGATATGTACGAAGAAGAGGAAGAGGTTGGTGACGGCTCCGAGGATGAGGAAGGCGACCGCAAAGTTGATTACTATGCGGTTGCTCACCGAATCAAGGAAGATGTGACGGCTCAACCGAAATTACTTGTGGGAGGAACACTGAAGGAATACCAGCTCAAAGGTCTCCAATGGATGATATCGCTCTACAACAACAACTTGAATGGCATTTTGGCAGACGAAATGGGGTTGGGCAAGACGATCCAAACAATCAGCTTGATTACCCATCTCATTGAGAAGAAGAAGCAGAATGGGCCGTTTTTGGTGATCGTACCGCTCAGCACGCTCACGAATTGGAATCTGGAGTTTGAGAAGTGGGCGCCATCGGTGAATCGGATCATCTACAAAGGGCCACCGAACACGCGGAAGCTGCAACAACAGAAGATCAGATATGGACAGTTCCAAGTACTGCTCACTACTTACGAATACATTATCAAGGACCGGCCAGTCCTGAGCAAGGTGAAATGGGTTCATATGATCGTGGATGAAGGTCACCGCATGAAGAACGCAAATTCGAAGCTGAGCAGCACTCTTACACAGTACTACATCACGCGATACCGCTTGATCTTGACCGGAACACCCCTACAAAACAATCTGCCGGAACTATGGGCTCTGCTCAATTTTGTCCTTCCCAACATCTTCAAATCGGTCAAATCGTTCGATGAATGGTTCAACACGCCTTTTGCCAATACCGGAGGTCAGGACAAGATGGAGCTAAGCGAAGAAGAACAGCTGCTGGTCATTCGCAGATTGCACAAGGTTTTGCGCCCCTTCTTGCTCAGGCGTCTCAAGAAAGACGTGGAAAAGGATCTGCCGGACAAGCAGGAACGCGTGATTAAATGCCGATTCTCTGCTTTACAAGCCAAGCTTTACAAACAGCTGGTCACCCACAACAAGCTCGCTGTCACAGACGGCAAAGGCGGAAAGACCGGCATGCGTGGGTTGAGCAACATGCTGATGCAGTTACGAAAACTGTGCAATCATCCATTTGTTTTCGAACCTGTCGAAGACCAAATGAATCCAGGGAAGGGCACCAATGATCTCCTCTGGAGAACCGCAGGAAAGTTCGAATTGCTGGACAGAGTGCTTCCCAAATTCAAAGCATCTGGACATCGAGTATTGATGTTTTTCCAGATGACCCAGATCATGAATATTATGGAGGACTTCCTGCGCCTGCGAGGCATGAAATATCTCCGACTTGATGGATCTACGAAGTCTGATGACCGGTCGGAACTCCTGAAGCTCTTCAATGCTCCTGGCTCAGAATACTTCTGCTTCCTGCTCTCGACTCGTGCTGGTGGTCTTGGCCTCAATCTGCAAACCGCAGATACCGTAATCATCTATGACTCCGACTGGAACCCGCATCAAGATTTACAGGCTCAAGATCGTGCTCATCGTATTGGCCAGAAAAACGAGGTTCGCATCCTGCGCCTCATCAGCTCGAACTCGGTGGAAGAGAAGATCCTTGAGCGTGCAAACTACAAGCTTGATATGGATGGAAAAGTTATTCAGGCTGGAAAATTCGACAACAAGTCGACCAACGAAGAGCGAGATGCGCTTCTTCGCACTTTGCTCGAAACCGCGGAAGCGGCCGAGGCTCTTGGTGAACAGCAGGATGAGATGGATGACGAGGACCTCAATGAGATGATGGCTCGATCAGAAGAGGAATTGGTCCAATTCCAGAAAATCGACGAAGAACGCATCAAGAACGACCGGTACGGTCCTGGACACAAACTGCCGCGCCTCATGTGCGAAGAAGAGCTACCGGACATCTATCTTGCCGAGGACAATCCAGTCGCAGAGGAAGTGGAAGAGTACGCTGGTCGTGGTGCTCGAGTACGTACCGTCGCTCGGTACGATGACGGCTTGTCCGAAGACCAATGGCTACTTGCTGTTGACGCAGACGATGACACGATCGAAGACGCGATGGCGCGGAAAGAGGCCCGAATCGAGAAGCGTCGTACGAACAAAGAAAAGCGGATACGGAAAGCTCAAGGCATCGAATCCTCTCCCGAACAATCCGTCGACGGCGACTCGACCCCTCAACCCAAACGCCGTGGCCGCAAACCCGGCCCAGCAAAGCGCAAAATCGAAGAAATCGAAGAGGAACTCCCCGCATCCAAACGCAAACGCGGTGGACCTAGCCGTCAATCCACCAAAGGGACGACGAGCGACCCTCTGAGCCCGGCAGACCGCAACACCCTACAAAAATCCCTGCGCGGCGTGTACGACATGCTGAAAGCGCTGGAAGTGGAAGAAAGCGACGACCCGGATGAGTCGCAAGCGGAATCTGATCAAGGCCCACCAACTCGTCTGATCATCCATCCATTCCTTGTGCTGCCGCCCAAGAAGGATTATCCGGACTATTATCATTTCATTCAGAGTCCGATTGCGATGGCAGAGATTGAGGTCAAGCTGAAAAAGGAGAGGTATAACAGTTTCAGGGAGTTCAAGGATGATGTGGCCTTGTTGGCTCGGAATGCGAGGACGTACAATGAGGATGGGAGTTTGTTGTACCAGGATGCTGGGACCATTGAGGTATGTACCCAATACTAATACGACTCTACCAATGGCTGACTGTTTCTCTTTCTCTACAGCAAGCATCCAACCAAGCCATCAAAGACCTCTCGGATAAATACCCCCATCTCGCTACCTCGGACCCGGACGAGATGGATAACGATGGCAACTCTTACATGAATGATGGGCAAACATCCACGGCGAACGGCTCGAGTGTCGGCACACCCATGACGGGGAATAATGGGCATGGAGGAGGAAGCGCGTCGACGAAGCTGAAACTGACGTTCAACGCTAACGGCGGTGGAAGTAATGGGCGAGGTACCATGACCGGGACGACGGACAGTGGAGTGGGTAGTGATGAGGATTGAATGTGGTTATTTCCCATGCCTCGAGATGAGATGGAGAGTGGGGGAAAGCGGCCTGGGAAAGGAGCAATTGAAGTGGACGGCTTTACGGCTGCCTACCCAGTCCAACCCAGGGAAAGCGAGTTGGTTGGGTGACGGAAGGTGCCATTTTCTTTTCTGGGGGGCAAGAAGAAGCAGAAGAAGAAGAAGAAGACTCAAGTAGAGGATTTCCTTCTCTCACTGTATTTTCAGGAGGCATGGGTGGTGGTGATTGAGGTATGAATACTGGTTGGGGGGGGGGGGGGGATTGAAGCCGC